TCTGCAGTTCAATGAATGCATTCCCCCCTCAGTCTCCCCTCGGATCAGATGAACTAAACGTCTCAGAATACACTCATCGGATCCTGTTTGGAGGTCGAACAGCCGAATCCTTCTCTCCTCCCTCTCCACTCCAAAGTCAGGACTACAATTTCAAGGTTCGACACTCAACAGTTTCACCTTCATAGCCAACAATTGACAGTGTGCACATTTCTACTTCTCACTTTGTTAAAATGTGTATATTTTGCACAATTAATTGTATATACTTTTGTGCTTTGCAATGTAGTTTTCCTCATGCGCAGGATGAAGCTCTATTGCTGACGACCAGGAAAGTGCAGTATCGCTGCATGAGTCAGCTGTCACCAGCTGAACTCATCACTCGAGGACAGCAGTTCATCAACCAAATGGAGCCTAAGAAAGGTGCAGCGCCAGACACTTTAGCATCGCAGTCAATTTCCACCCCCATATAAGGAGTGTGCTGCGCGACAGAATATAGGCACAATTTGGTGACTATGAAGTTTAGTTTGAGGTGGTGTGAGACGACGTCTTGTCTTCCCGCCCCAGACCCAGGGTCCCGTAACAACTCCAGTGTGGGGGTCGGGGGAATAAACCGCTACCTCATCTCGGTGTGTGTGGAGTACCTCCAGCAGCCGGTGGCCCTGAAGGAAGAGGGGCTGTTTCGGGTTCCGGGAGACAGTAGCCTCATGAAGGCCCTCCACAGAGACTTTCAGAGTCACACCGTCAGCAAGGAACACTTGAGGTCAGAGTCTGTAACCATGGCAACACGACACTCGGTAAACAACTTTTGTAACCATGGCAACACTAAAAGAATGGTACTAGTATACGATACAGCAGAAAGTTGAGTCATTTCTCTCTGTCGATGACTATTATTTAAAAATCGAAATGTTTAGTTCCCCCCTGTGTGAGAATTAATTTTCATGGTGTTTCTGGTCGTCCAATCGGGCAATAGGTGGTCTGTGATGGAGCAAAAGGATCCAAATACAGTCAGTGGTCTGTTGAAACTTCACTTGAGGGAAAACGGACTGCTGAGTCAGCAGAGTTTGGACCAGCTCCTGCCTCACGTGGGATCCAGAGACCACGTACGTTGCGTGTCTCGTGTTCAGAGCACACTCAATGATACCAGAACAACACACTTTACCTCTCTATAATGGACGCTTGGTTTTGACACATTTACCTCTCTATAATGGACGCTTGGTTTTGACACATTTACCTCTCTATAAAGGATGCTTGGTTTTGACACATTTACCTCTCTATAAAGGATGCTTGGTTTTGACCCATAATTATTAGGTTGCCATCTTTAGCCAAGTAAGTACAAACTCTTTTATGTCCCAAGGTCTCCTATAGAGTGTTTTTCCAGACACCAAAGAAAGTTTCTCCTTTCGTCCAGGAAATGCTGGCGGAGACGGTGGTGGAAATGCTACCACCAGACGAACTGCAGCCACTACTGGAGGTCGTGTCGCTAATGGCAACCATCGTCATGGAGCCCTGGGCCCAGGATAACAAGATGAACCCGCGGACTCTCGGCATTGCCTGCGGCCTCTCCATCTTCCCAAGTCTTGACCCTGGTATAATTATATACTTGTGTGCTAGAACAAATTCAACGCATTTTTGGCGAGAAAATGAGGTTTGTTTACCAGATTTATGTACAAAGTGTATGTAGAAGTCCTCACTTTAATTTTATTGCATGTTTGCAAAGTTTAGGCTAGCCACCCCCATTCTATGCAATCACACTGCACACTCCAGCTATTCAGAATGGTTGGTTGGCCTATCCTTCCCCCCACTTGCTGACTAAAAGTACGAAGAGTTTAGGCCATTTCCCACACATTATCTACAGGAACTGCGACGGCACTACTGGAGACGCTGGTCAAGAAAAACAAGGTCCTTCAAGAAAGCCAGACTATTTTGTGATGATGTCATCCTCATTAGGGGAATTTAATTAACTCGATCCTGAGCCCACCCACACATCGTATTTTGCAAATTGTTGGAACTTGCAAATAGTTCTTTTTTTAATGAAATTCCTGGCAGTTTAATGTGTGATAATTATGTTGACAATAATTATTCTCCCTTGTCATTATCAATTGTCAGTTTCCGTTTTTTCGAAGTTTTTTTGTTCCTGACCGTGGGCTCTGCCTCCCCCTCCCCATTGCCATGGGCGACGGGGGCTCTCCGAGCCTCTCGCTCTCTGCGCAGTCTCTCCATGACCTCGGTCACGTGACCTAGGAGGTCGTCGTTACGGCGACAGCAGAGACGAATGTCTTCTGGAGCTACCACTGTTCTCTTGGCATGTCTGCAGACAATATAGAAGATCAAGAACATTGACAAGCATACAAGGACATCTACAAGAACAGTTAATCGATCTCCACAGGAGATGACGAGCTGAGGACTGACTTTGCGAAGGCCTCCACATCCCAGGCCAGCAACTGCGTCTGGTTGAACGCGGCCTCAGTCACCGCAGCCACCACCTCTCGACTGAACTCCGACCCCTCCACCTCTCCGCACACCTTCCCGACCGAGTAGTGCAGCGCCGCCTTCAGTCTCTGTCTCTCTGCAAGGGTGTCCGCAGCGGCGGCGGCATCCTCCGCTTCCGAGTCTCTCTCCCCATCCGCCATTTCGCGGGGAAAACTGGCGCGCCGCAAACGTGTACGCGCATGCGCACTCACAATCGATTTTTGATCGTAGGAAAATAACATCTACACATACACACGCTAGAAATTCGTCAGTGATGAATGAATTATAACACTTGACTCGGCTACTCCTGAAAGTTGCAACTACCGCTGGTCTGGAGAATGGTTCTGTAGCAGCTGCAGTAACACTTCGTGACCTGGACAATTATCACGTGAAGAGAAAAGAGGGGGACAGGAGGAATGACAACATCCGAGTTCGACACCCAAAAGAAAAAGTCTCTTTCCTTCTACATTGAGCCCCACATTGAAAGAGTGCTTTATTGAGAGGTGTGCCTTATTCAGATGCATTAGTGTTGGACAGAGCCAAAGTTGGATGGTCTCGTCACAGTTTCACTGCCCATTTTTCAATTTCACAATAAACAGTGTCAACAAAGAGGTCCCAAGACAAAGTGTGCCAACCCTCAATATACAACTCTTGCTGCTTTTTGGTCTATAAGGACACTTAGAACATATTTGAAGGAAAACTGGCAAGAGTTGTATATTGAGGGTTGGCTCACTCTGACCCCTACAACTAAGCTACACACAGGACAGCTTTTCAAAGACTTGAAACAGTAAACCTGGGTCCTGTATCTCCTTGTAGTTGAGGAGGAGGTAGTGAGAGGAACAGGCCAGCAGCTGTGACGCAGAGTAGTGGTACGCCGTCTGGTACATCGGGACGGCTACCTCGACGTCTATCTTCTCACTCAGTGTCTTCTCACACTTTCTCTTCATCGGCTCCAACAGGAGCTGATCAGCTGCCACCAGCAACTGCATATACAAGAGTCGTAATAGATTTCATTCGATCACGACAAAAGGAAAAAGTTGCCACAGGTTTGTGGCATTATATATGCACACTTGTGGAAGTCTGCAGGACACAAGCGAAAAAACAGAAAAACAAGCAGAAAACGTAAAACGCAATGTGAAGATCTGTCCTTGATGTAGTAAGCACATTTTTGTTAAAATTTCATTTTCGTACCATTGTTACAACGTAAGTAATTAATGCAGTTCTAACGAGGGGGCTGGTCCCACTCCCAGTCTCCCATACCTCAATCCCCAGGTTGAGGTCGTCTGGAGGAAAAAGACATCGTCCAGTGTACAGGTATTCCAGCACCACCTGGAGGACACGCCCACTCACCATTGGCATGGCGATCTGTATGATTACATCATCAGTGTTACTAAAAATAGTCCACATAATAGTTACACAAACATGCTGACAGCAACTTTTCTCTATGTAAGTTGAATATACGACTTCATCGTGTTACTAAAAATACCAAGGTCCCACCCACCTCTCTATTTTTAGACTCAGTCCAGAGGTCAGAGTCCAGCATTGATTTGAGAACAGGGCTCTGTGCACAGAGGACCAGTCGGTGAGCGTGGAATCGTTTATCGTCTGAGGTTACCAGGACGACGTCACTGAGGGAGGTAGGGAGGAGAGAAAGGTAAAAGACAAAGAAGTGAAACGGAAGGAGTAAATTTAATTAACACAAGTACAAGTGTGTAGTTAGAAATAGGATTAACTACAGTTTAGAGGAGGTGTGGGGGGAAGACTAAAGACGAAGACAAGTGGTGATGAACCGGTTAGAGGTGCGAAAGACAAGAGTAGAGAAGAAAGAAGTGAATATTGTAGTTGGAAGGTGGACGAACTAGTTTACCTCAGGTTAGGGCTGTTGATGTAGGACGACAGGTCAAACAGAGGTTCTGATGAGGGGGCAAAGGTCAGTAGATATTGAACAAGGTCACACTAACATACATACATACCTTTTTCTTCCACAGCTCTGATGTGCTTTGGAGGGAAACACTGTTGGAAAAATAGAGTTTTCATGAATTTCAGAGTTAAAATAGAGTTTTCATGAATCTCAGAGTCCAAATATTCATGAATCTCAGAGTTTTCAAGTATGTACTGCATGCCATCATGAGTTTACCTTGAGAGCGAGCAGTTGTACTGGTGTACGACCTGCTGTGTTACCCAAGAGAGGGTCGGCCCCTAATTTAATTAGATGTGACATCATTGGAAAATCCTGCCTCTGGACTGCTCGATGCAGAATCCTGAGGAGGACGATGGTGAGCTTGTATTAGAACACTTGAAGAAGAGACTTTGCTACCCAAAACTCTCGTCCTTTCCTTCTACATATCTCGCTAAACTTCTTCTTTCCTCCTATCTCGCTCTAAAACGTTTGTCTGTTCCCCTCCTATTTCGCCCCACTTTTCATCATTCCCCTCTATCTTGCCCCGAGAGAAGGAAGAATGAGGGGAGGAAGGGGAGGAGAGAAGGGGTTAACATACGTGTTCCCAGCATTGCTACTGTGACAGTTGATTGGCAATCCATGCTTCTCCACCAAATACCCCACCATCTCCATCTTGCCCTGAGAAGAGAACACAAGCGGTTAACCATGCAGTGGAAATCTTCAGAGGCAGAAAAAAATAATTCTTTTACACCTTTTTCCCTGCAAAATCCTTGTACCTGTGACAAAATTTTGTGCTATATACACAGTATATTGTACCTTGGTAACAGCTTCCAGTAGCCAATCAAAATCCCGTCTGTGTTTGATGATGTCATCGCCGCCACAGAACCTCTCCCTCAGGGACATTACGTCATCTATCACCTGCATAGAGATGACATCACACTGTTACTAATTTTGTACGTGGCTATTTTTAGCACACCTTCTCGTCTCCCGAAGTAACTGCAGCCTTGACTAGTTGGACTTCGATCTTGAAATACATTTTTTCAGTCAACTCCGCCAGGGCGGCTTCAAGCTCTGCCCCTCCACTAGCCACACCCTCCAGTAACGACGTTACCATGGCAGTCTCTGCTTTGACCTCTGAACTCTACAGACAGTGAGAGACATACATACATACATACATACACTTGTATTTAAAAATTACTCTCCACCCAACAGAATGTACCGTTTCAGTGCTCTGAAGCTGCAGCATCTCGTCTGTGTCCCATTCTCCCCTGGAATGGGGAATGGGGGAATGGCAGAATGGGGAATGAATAACAGATGAAGCCGATGTAATGAGAGAATGGGAAATGACGGAATGGGAGAATGGGAATGAGACCCTCACTGTTGCTCTTGGACTTTCATGGTCTTATGGAATTCTGTTTCCAGTTCACGACACTTCAACTGTGCCTCCTGTGGAGAGAGAGATCACATGACTGTCACATGACCCGAGAGAGTGGACGGGGCTCACGGAATAGTGGGCGTGGCGAGGGACAGAGACGTACATGGCAAGAGTGTCAGACATATTACAGCACATTCTGTGAAGAGGAGAACCCACGTAATTAGTCATCACATGATTGTCACATGACACAGTGACTAAACCAGTTCTCATCATGTGATCCTCACATGATTGTCACATGACAACCCACCTGAGCATGCGTAGGGCACTCTGTAGACGGAATCCGAGGTCGTATTTGGAGACGGTGGGGTCAAAAACGGCCTCGTGTGATTGGAGGGCTTTTTCGTACAGCCTGTCCAGTAGCGGGGAGACTGCGTCACCAGCTCTGGAGACCAGGGACTGGAGATCTGCCCTGTCCACTGGAAATGACCGTGACTGGGGGGTGAGAGGGGGACGGGGGAGGGAGGGAGGGAGGGAGGGAAGAAGAGAGACCACCTATTGCACATGAAATCTTGAAAAGAGAAAAACTAACAATGAAACATACAAGTTCGTAGAGAAAACTCCACAAATGGCTCTCAAATGGCTCTCAAATAAATGACACATCGGGACCATCCCATTATACTCAGAGTGTCAATTTTGAGGTTCCACTGCAAAATTTCAGCAGAACTTACAGCTTGAAAATATCTCGATTCGTCTGAATTCAACTCTCTGGCAATCTTGACGACATCAGCAACGCATCGCTCCACTGCCTGTGAATTGACCCTCCACTGACAAACTCCGCCACTTGACCCCTGCGGTCACGTGACTGTCATGTGACACGTCACATGATGTCATGTGATACTGTACCTGCATGGTCTGATCGCAGAGGCTCCGAGCTGCCCTTATTTTCGACTCCATACTCTCCATGTATCCTAGCACTTCACGGAGATCTGTCACCTGTGAAGAGAGGGCGGGGGAGAGAGAAAGTTTGAGAAGAAGGTGAAATGGAGGGAAAAAGGAAGAGTTGGGGGGGGGGCTAAATTACTCAGCAACATTGTGTTCCCTGGCAACGTGTGGTGCAAAATACACAGCAGCAACACTGAAACAAGTGTCGGTCCCACGCACAACATGCTTAGCTGTTTACCATGCTAGCAACTCCCACTTCTTTTCCTCCGGCTACATTATTATGGCACGAGTTACTTCTTGCCCCTAGTGGCTAAGCGGTGCAAATAAGCGTGCAGATCGACCCCTCCTATCCTCGCAGCGCTCCAACACTTCTTTATCCCCATTCACAGCTACATTTGATACATCAGTTATATACACTGCTCAATAGGGGGTAAATGCCCATTATGACGATACACTCTTTGTCTATAGAACCTTCTCTTACAGCTATGAGATCTCTACATATTGACAATGTGGGAGTGAGGCAACGGTTGGATTCAAAGAGAGAGGGCGGCACCTCAGGCACAAACACAGTTAATGATAAACAGGTTTCCTGTAGGGGTTTCAGATATTAGGTACAACGATGGGAGTTTGGTCCCTGAATACAACGGACAAGTCTCAGTTTACTGGTCAAAAATGGCAACACAGTACACCACAAAACAATTGAGGTTCCCCATTATACCCATACATTGAGGTCTCCCATTATACCCATACATTGAGGTCTCCCATTATACCCATACATTGAGGTTCCCCATTATACCCATACATTGAGGTCTCCCATTATACCCATACATTGAGGTCTCCCATTATACCCATACATTGAGGTTCCCCATTATACCCATACATTGAGGTTCCCCATTATACCCATACATTGAGGTTCCCCATTATACCCATACATTGAGGTCTCCCATTATACCCATACATTGAGGTTCCCCATTATACCCATACATTGAGGTCTCCCATTATACCCATACATTGAGGTTCCCCATTATACCCATACATTGAGGTTCCCCATTATACCCATACATTGAGGTCTCCCATTATACCCATACATTGAGGTCTCCCATTATACCCATACATTGAGGTTCCCCCATTATACCCATACATTGAGGTCTCCCATTATACCCATACATTGAGGTTCCCCATTATACCCATACATTTTCCCTTAACATGTACAATACAAACTGTGTAGTTACGTTGGACTTTGGCCAGATCGAGTGAATACAACCGCTTGTAGAGGGTTGCCATATATGGAGAGGGTTAATGTACTAATTAGTTAGGGGAGGGGCTCACCAGTTGGGCTGGCCACTGAGCTTTCTGCTGCAGAATTTCTTCCGTCAACTGGAGTATGGAGGAATGGAGATGTGAGTACGTCGAGTATGATAACATGGAGTATGGAGTATGGAGTATGATGGCATGCAAGTACAGTGGAGTATGGAGTACACAGTATGGAGTATACTGCTCACGTTGATTCTTCGTAGAAAAGCCTCGGTCTGTTCCATGAGTGACTTCAGTTGGTGGATGAAGGAAGGACTCCCCTGCATCACTAGGATAGCGTCTATCATTCTCTGGATCTCCTCTCGCTGCTCCTGGACCTTTTCCACTGCTCCCTGCGTCTGGGGAATAGGAGAGAGAAAATGGTGAATGGCAACTTCAATCCTGGTGTAATCTGTATTCATGATGTTTAGGATGGTCAGTTGGTCTGCCCTTCTTCCACATGCTCACAAAAATTCCGAAAAATTTAAGCCATCCCTACTTTCATTTTATTCACCTCTTGCCTGCGATGTTTCATCATCTTCTGCCTCAACTCAGACGCGAAATCCACGACTTTCTCTCCGCCCGGAGGCCGTTCCTGTGGGCGTGGCGCCGTCCTCAGGGCCACGCCCCCTCTAATTGAGCCCATGAGCTGATCGTGAGCCGAAAAAGCAGGTCCCTCTCGTTCTCCCGGTCGCGGGGCCCGCCTCAGACTCACTCCCTGTTGGATGGCTGCCAGTGTTGCTTCTCTTGCCTGCCCACAATTGAGAAACACAATTCTCTCTCATGACAAATTTCTGAGGCGCAAATTTTCCATGGATTAGAAGTTTTAGGTTTTCTTACGTTGTTTCCGGCAGCTGGTGGCCTCACGGGACGACCTCTACCAGGTGGGGGGAGTGGCGCGGGAGGTGGAGGAGGAGGAGGTGGGGGAGGTGGGGGAGGTGGGAGAGCAGCGGGAGGCGGGGGAGGGGGAGGAGCTTCAGCCTCAGCAGGCGGGGCAGGCTCGTCGTCTGGGGGAGCTGGCTCAACTGGTCCTATTCCGGTACCAGAGAATGGGAATGAAACACGTACAGTGGAACTCCCTAATCAACACACCAAGAAAAGGTATGTACAGTAACCATTTTAAATGGTTAGATACATGCATAGAAAGGTGTCCACATTCTTCTAAGGTGTCCTTAGTTCGACTGTAAACATATCCAGATGTATATGGGGGCACAGGGCTAATTGTGCTAAGCACTCTCCATTGACAAATGGACAAACACCCCACTCTACACATGCCTATAGGGTAAGAAGAGGCCATACAATAGACTACACGACATAATGTTGTAGCAATACTTTGTATGGTACTAGACTTGTACACAGCCCTTATACCTTGTTCTGTGGATGAGCTGTTTTCTGCAGCGTCTGCCGCAGCCTTTTTTGGCTTTTTCTTGATGGACAGTTTCCGCTTGAGTGACTTCATGACCCCATCTGTCCCTTCCCCATCTCCCTCGTCTTTTCCCTCTCCCTCCTCGTCTGCTACCATCGCCCCATCTGGCTCGGTACTAGCAACGTCCACTACTTCGCCTGACTCAGTGACTTCATCTGTTCTCGCCTCTGTCAGCTGACTCACGGCAAGTTTCAGACTCTCTCCCTCCTCTCTCTCCATCTCCATCACCTCACTTGTTTCATTCACAGCTTCTTGAGGTCCACCATCTACCCCCTCCTCTCCGGCTGAAATTTGCGACCCCCTTATTTCTTCATTTTCTGTCCCCTCATCGACTCTGCCCCCCGTGGGGTCTGGTTCGGTGAATAAGCACTCCAGTTTAGTTGCCGAATCTGTCATTTCTACAACTTCCATGACTTCTTCCACTATCGCTCCGTCTATTGTAACCCTCTCTTCTTCCTCTTTTACATCTTCCAACTTTTTCTCGCCCTCTCTTTCTCCCTCTTCCTCCACTGTCTCTCCATTACACTCTCCCTGACCCTCTCTAGGAGTTTCACTTTCAGCAACTAAAGGCTCGCTGACTTCAGAACACAAGACGTCTGCCGACTCTTCTAAATCGTTTGTTTTCGACTGGTCTTTGTTTGTTTTCAATTCCTCTTCCTTTGCCAGAGCCTCTTCTTGGCGGCTGATATCAGCTTTTATCACTTCTGTTTTCAATTCAACTTCTTTGTTGGCGTCGGAATCATTCTCAGCACCGCCCGGAAGCTGACGCAAAGCGTAGACTGGTTCCGTTTCGGTTTCGTTGGTTGGAGAATGGACCGGTGCGGTAGGGGGGGTGGGCGAGGGTCTTTTGGTCGACAGTGGTCCTCTAGTGGCACCGGCAGTAGCAGGTGGTGGTAGTTTGTGGATGGCAGAAGCAGGGGGTGGCGGACGAGAGGGGACTTTTGCACCGCCAGTGCTTCTGGGATAAGAGGTTCCTAATCCAATGGGTGGGGTTACCTTGGCAACCAGAGGTGCATGATTAGCGGTCGGCTTGGAAACGACAGCGGGAGGTGATTTGGGAGATATGAAAGGGGCACCCTCGCTGGAACCAACTGGGGGCTGCTGGGGTTTCGAAAGAGCTGATCTCACCGAAGACGAAGGTGGTAGGGGTGAGACGGAATTTTCCGCAGGCGACACTGGGGAAGGAGATTTCATCTGATCCCCGGGGGCGTCCCCCGCAACACTGGCAACTTTTCCAGCGGATATACCCTCCAGATTTTCCTTCTGCGGAGTTCTCTCTCTCGCCGGCACGGAACGGTCGATGGCCTTCTCTTTATTGACGCGAAACCTCTGGAAGACCTTCGCGTCTTTCCCTCCCACTCCTCCGGGGCTGGTCGGGGAAGTCTCGGGCTTCCCGGCGTGCACCCTCAACGACTGGTAACAGTTCCGACACACGTCTTTCCTCCATTTCTGAGGCTGAAACTTGTCACAGGAGAAGTCGCCGCCGTCCATTATGGCCGCAGGAGCAATCGGTCGCTAGATTACCTGTTCGATCTCTCGCACTCGATTTTGCAGCTAAAACAAACACGGACGGCTATTGTACACGCGAAAAGGTTTTGGCGTAGCTCGAGCTACAGCTCCTTTTCTGCGTTGTTTCCCTCACCTCTGGTTGCTAAGGATGTGTGTTAGTTCCAGGCTATGTCGGACAGTACTTGTCGAGTACTTGTTCCGTGCGGAGCTGCCAGGGGAGGAGACCTATATTTGGCCTTCTCTCCAGCAAGCATTACTCTGCACCTTGACCAGGCGTTTTATACACCGCAAACAGGAGTCGCACAATAAGTGTGCGCATGCGCAATACGCTAGCTAGCTCTGCCGCCGCCGGCGGCCGGAAGACGGCGTCTCGCAACAGCTATATATGCAATCTTGGAAGCGATGCGACGAGCTGCATGAAGAATATAATAGCCGAGGTAGCCGCGGTTAGCGCGGCTACAGGGCGACACGTATATACATAACTGGATGTTCCTAGCTACAGTTGCCCAGTTCTTCTGTGCAGGCTGTGAAGATAGACGCCAGCCACAGCAAAATGGAGCTGCCGGAAAAAGAAGTTTTGGTCAGTGATGAAGGAAAAGGCGAAGCGTTGCCTCTCGTTGTGCGGCCAGCGACGGAGGGAAACGTGTCCGCTGAATTCCTCCGCTCGTGGATTTCGAGGAACACAGAATGGCTCGATGGAAAACTACTCAAACACGGTATGTACCTACCTAGCAAATCCGCTATAAAATTCACGGCATAGATCTGCACACACTCCATAAAGATACGGCAAGTAATGTTTTGGAGGGTGCAATTCTGCTTACTAGCTGGGATGTGATCACCTTATGATGGAGGGGTGGTGTTTTGACTGTGCTTTGAGAGGTGGTGTGCGTGACGTAAGAGGTGGTGCGTTTTGTGGAGACGTGGTACTTTTAATTACTGAGAGGTGGTGCTTTTTGCTGAGAGGCAGTGCGAGGAAACCGGCACCACCCCTCCATCATTAGTACCACCTCTCACGTCACAAAACCACCACGTCTTGATGAAAATAACCTCTTCCTATCCAGTCCCTAATTTTGCCGGCAATCACCCCCCATAGTTGATGGAACCACCACTTTTTTCCCTAGGTGCGGTACTGTTTCGTGGATTTCGCGTGGAGACGGGGCGGCAATTCCAGACCGTGGTCCAGCAATACTGCCCCTCTCTCTCCGACGCGTACCGTGGTACGTCGCCGCGAAGACTCGTGGACGGGACGCGGTACGTGTTCTCTGCGAGCGAGCTGCCACCGTCCTATCCCATCCCGCAGCACATCGAGATGTCGTTCCTCCCAGCCCCTCCCCGCTTCCTCTTCTTCTGCTGTCTGGAAGCTCCCACTTCCGTCGGCGGGGAAACGAGTCTGTGTGACTTCAGAAAAGTTTACCAGCAACTGGACCCGGCGGTTAGAAGAGATTTTGAGCAAAAGAGGGTAAAAATGTTACGGGATCTATGTCAGTCTATTGACAACGAATACCACCTCTCTGTAAAGACCAGTTGCCTATAATGCTTGACCCAGTTTATCTGAACTTACATCGCTAATGATCACCTTCAGAGTGTCACTCTCTAGACAAGTTTTGCTGTACCAAAATTGAATTTTTTGCCACGTGAAGTGTTTGATGTAGCAGATGCTTTGCAGGGGTGAGGAAAGGAAGGGTTTGAGGCTTAAAATACAAGTCACATCCTTTTTTATTTCTATGGATTATTTTCTCTGTCAGTTGAATCACTGAGTCCATTACACTCCATATTAGGTCTTGTACAGCAGATATTACACCCCGGTCAAGTCAGGTCTGTTTTCAGACCCGACAATGATGAAAGGTTGGCAGGATGTGTTTGGAACTCCAGACAAGGCAGCGGTGGTGGCTGAGTTGAGAGAGACTGGACAGGACTTCTGTTGGGAGGGAGATAACTTGCGAATTTGCAGCCAGCAGGCAGCTGTTGAGACCCATCCGCTATCAGGAGAGAAGATTTGGTTCAACCACACCTTGGTATGTTCTCCATTGCTCTCTTTTGCGTGCCTGACAATGTGAAACACTCCTTTCTTTCTATCTCTTTCTATAGGTGTGTATTGTATAGTATTGTAAGGCTCTTTCTATCTCTTTCTATAGGTGTTTCATTTCACAATGCTGTCGTCAGAACTATATCGTGTCTATAAACGAATGGGAGGCCTGAAATACCGGCTTTTGTCCTGGTTCTTCTGGTTTCTCAAGTTTTGGTTCTTTTCCGTCAGAGGCTCGAGCAGGGTTGGGTTTCACACCTCGTTTGGTGACGGATCCGACATTCCAGAGGGTCACCTCGAGCACGTTAGAGACGTGGTGTGGAAGAATATGGTTTTCAACCACTGGAAGCAGGGAGACGTCGTGATGATTGATAACTTCAGGATCTCTCACGGACGCCAGGTAACAACCGACACTCGCTACATATTTTCGTCTTCTCACTCTGCACTCTTCACTTTCCCCCCTATAATAATGAATGAAGGGCCTATAGTACTGGATTATGATCGCTCTCTCCCTCTCTCTACAGCCATTCTCGGGTCGGAGAAAGATCGTGGTGTCATGGTCCCAGCCCTACACCAAGCCCAGTCTCCATTCCATTCCAGCTGGAACTCGCTAACTCTTGCACAATTTCGATCTTTGTGGCAAAGAACATTAATTATTATAGTAAGAGAGACAGTTGGTGCAGAATCAAAAAGATGTATACACACAGTTAATACAATGACTGTGGCATTGATGAAGTTAAATAAAATTGTCAGTGTCAGATTTTTGACCTAGAGATTGTAGTCATGGAAACAGGTCAGCGTCGGATGCGATCGACCTTTCGTGACCTTTGTTCGTATGCATACTCTCTCTCCCTGTGGTGCCTGTGTTCGAGAAGAAAGTCACGTCTCTCTCTCCTTTCTCTGTGTCGATGTTTACCGTGACGGCGTGTGTGGTCTCTATGGCGATCCCCGTCCTCGTTGCTACGACTACGAACCCTCTTGCTCTCCCGGTGACCCCTGTGGTTGCCACGGTCACCGTGTCTATGACGACCTTTGCGGACTTTCCTGTCATACATTTCGTCACGAGATCTCTCCTGTGGAGAGAGATGTGAAATTTGAAACTTGAGTATTAAATTAATTGCCACCCCTACACACTAGACTTATGTACTACATTGGATGAACATACATACACATACATACTAGGATGCAGGGGAAGGGGCAGAGAGGGCAAAAACAGGCAAAGGTAGGATGGAAAAATGGGTAAAACCGAACCTGCAGTCCGTTCTCTCGGCGGACTAGAGAGAGAGGGGAGGGGCTACCGGCAGGTGCCGAGTCGCTCCCAGCATCGTCCTCCGATAACACAATTGGACTCAGGACCGGCCGGTACGCCAGGGGGGTGTGGCCTTGAGGACGAATGGGAGACGGAGTTCGACTCTCGCTAGATTCTGCCTCGCTATATCTCCCCCTCTCTTCTTCCTTGGCATCTTTCCAGTTAATTGGGCTAGGGGCCGATTTAGGGGGAGGGGTCTGGTCTCGGGCGGAGCGGGCGTGTGTGACGAGCGGACTGACAGATCGGGTTGAGCGACTGGCGGGAACTCGCAAATCTCTCTTACCAAGGAGACCACTGCTGGGTTGTGGGCGAGGGGGGGAGGAGGGAGGGGGAGAGACTCGATAGCTCTTTGGGACAGGTCGAGTGCGGGGGTGAGGGGGCGAAATAAGGGGGGCTTTGACGGATGATTTTGGGAGGGGGGTGGGTGTGGGGGACTTTTGTGACGATCGACTGTCGTTGACTGGGGCAGGATGAGATTCCCAGGGAATGGGGAGGAGACCTGCTGGGGAAAGAGAGCATTAAACAGATTCCGGACTGGTGGATTGCAGCAAACACTGTCTTTTTAATAATACAATCCAGACACCAATAGGACAGAAGAAAGTGTCCATATTAGTGAGATGTCCTTATTTCAGGGGTTAAGTTAACTGTTCTTGGGGAAAGAAAAGGTGTCCTTATTAGAGAGAGAGAGAGAGAGAGAGAGAGGTGTCCTCCTTTCCGAGGTGCCCTTCAAGAGAGGTTCCACTATAATTACGTATGTATACACATGTGCAAAATGGAGACCTTTTTTCGTGTTTGGATCGTCGACCTCTGTACTCTTCTTTAGCTTCACTTCCTTGATTTCCACCTGCCTTTTCTGCGAGAAAAACAACTTTACATCATCATCATAAAAAATCAGAATTGAAAATTAATAGCAGGAAGGACTGGCAAATTAAAGCGGAAACAGCAAAAAACAACTTTTCATTATCAATCAGAATGGAGGAAATTGACGTGAACTGAGCAAATCAAACCTGAAACGGGAAAGAGGCGTTTTAAAGCACGTGTGCATATATATACCTGATACTCTTCTTTCAGTTTGGTGATTTCTCTCTCCACACTCTCCATCTGGACACTAGGCCAGCGATAGAGGGACAGGAGCTCCAGCGAAATGGCCTCCATGTCTTCAAAGTCTGCGTCAAACAGTAGCCACCAGGGAGGGCTCTGCGGCAGCGGGATCTGTGCATGTGATAGTCACATGACTTAGGATCACACAAGAGTCACATGACTTAATAGCATCACGTAAAATTGCAACACTACACTTATATACTCAGCAGGAAACCGATTGGAAAAATACGTTCTCTAGTGCACTTCTGATTTTGAGAGAAAACTGCAGATTTTCAATGTCTGCGGCCCACCAGTATCAAATCATGCCACGGTACATACCTTCATCTGCCTTGCTCCGAGGTAGATGCAGGCACAGGCTATGGTCTCTGGTGTGAACCTCACAAACACGTTTGTCCGGAGACTGTCGTTCATGAGGTTCCAGCTGTTCTGGGCGAGCGCCGCGTTCTTGTCCATCTCCAGCATTTGCAGGTAGGTTATGATGAGCTGCGAGACGACGGAAATTAAAACAAATCTCTTTTTCTTCTCCTCTCGTTTTACCTTATGAGAATGTTTGATGTGAACACAGAACCCCAGCTCCTGAAGAAAGAGAAGTCGGACAGATGTAAGAGCAAGTCAAATACATCAAGCCTATATGTATCCAATACCTTGAGGAGAAATCTCTCGTACTTTATTACGGTCGACTTGAGCTTGAAATATTCCTCACCCATGTAGTCCATACACGAGACAGACCTGAAGGAAGACAGAGATGAGAGAAAAGGCTTCAAAAAGGCTTACAAATCAACAGATTACGACCAAAAAATGCTGGCAAATGGTTTTATTTACAGTTCAAGGGTAAACTATAAGGAGAGGCAACCACTGTACCAGGTACAGGGCCAAATTCTCACGGCACTAATTTTTAACGGATTGGTCTATTTTAGGATGCACACTGACACTGTGTAGCAAAATTTTTTGTGGATTGCACGAAAACCTCAAAAATTTGGCACCATCGTATAAACGGTAGTTGGGGGAAGTGTGTTCATTTATGTAAGTTATGTGTTGTGTGGTGGATGACAGCAGCTTTTCTCTGAGAGGATTGTGTGTCAGAGAGGGAGAGCAGGGAGGAGCGGGTAGTTGAGACCTGAAGAGAGAGTTCACACAATTCAGAGAAAGTGAGCTCTATTTAGAGTTCAGACTGGAGGTGGGCTCCATTTAGGGACTGAGATGTGAGCTCCATTTAGAGTTCAGAACTACTCCATTCCGATTTTGTAGTTAGGAGGCTCCATTTAGAGTTCAGGAGGTGGGCTCCATTTAGAGTTCAGAACTAAGGAGTGGACTCCATTTAGAGTTCAGAGCTGATGGATGGGCTCTATTTAGAGTAAACAACCATAACAGTGAGTCCATAAAAATAGTCAGTTCAAGTCTCTTAGTCCACGATGACTGCACACCGGTACAAAATCATCAGAGAGAAGACAATGACAAATCCTTGAGATCACAGTATAGCAGAGTATAAACTGAAAATGTTCCACAACAAACACTCACAAAACAGTCAGTAGCTCCATCATATGAAATGAGTAGTCGTCTTACCAAAAGTACTCCGCGATCTTCATCTCCCCTCGTTCTCTCTCTCTCTCTCTCTTCTCGCCACCAGCCACATACAGCCAGCTGCCTAGCTTGCTTTGCAGCAGAGCCGAGAGCGGCTGGGTGGGTGGGAGGAGGGAGAAGAGGACCAGTTACCCCAGCCAGGGGACACAACACAGAATGAGCTGCTATCACCCACCCACCAAACACCTGTCACACACCTGTCACACACACTTCCCCCTACTATCCCAACACTCGCACCAAGTCTGGTATAATTTTCAACGCTATTTTAAAGGTGCTCTCTAATTAGAGGTTCATTTGTCCCTACTCAGCACATGCATACACTTCGTGATTGTCGACCTCAATAAGAGTGCTCTCTAATTAGAATGGGTGGCTCTAATTAGAATACCAGTGGCTCAAAATTATGCAGCACAACACAACAGAGATGTCACTTACTTCCCAAGAAGTTTCTGACGCAGGTGGTGAAAAACGTTAATTACATCTCGAATTCGCCGGCAGTCTTCTTCGATCTTGGCTGCTAAGAATATACACCCCATTGCCATGGGCTGAGAAAGAGAACCACAACATCAAAAACAGACAGGGTAGAGCATAGAAGGTTTTAGTGGAGAGGGCCTTAGGCTAAGGCATGGATGTGGAAAAACTACAAACATGAACCAATGTGCAGTTGGAAGGTTTTGAGAGAGATTTGAAAATCTGTGAGTTTTCTCTCAAAGATGCAGAGTCGGATGTACCTGTAAGCTGTATTTGATGAAAGATTTGGAGTAGTAGAACCTCTGAAACAGGACTTGTGCAGTAGCCATGGCCACCTACAGTGAGATAGAAGAACAGACAGGAAGTTAGTACTGGGACGAATGAAACTGTTTTCTGTCCCTTTTTTCCAGGGTCCGAAGGCTCACCTGGGGCAGTTTTAGGAGTAGTCCCGCCGTCTGGATGCACTCGCAGCCGAGAAGACGAAGTTTTACCTCTAATTCGCACCCAACACCGTCCTGCCGTGACGGCGTGTTCAGAAGCCTTTCCTTGGGCACGATACAGTTGTCCAGACTCAGGAGGATCTTGGAATACTCCTTTATAGGCTCCATTGCTACCCTTCCTCACCCAACGACGCGAGAAAAGCCTTCCTTTTAGCAAAACCACAAAATGGCCGCCATTTTTTCGGCTATAATCGTTTGGATGACGAATTGTCTTATTTTGCGCATGCGTTTAAATTAGGTAATTATGATGATATTAACGTTACTAAAAATAGAAGAAAAATTGCGCGGATTTCGTCGGAAATTTCCAGCCGTTTCAAATTCGAACCGCCCCGCCGCTCACCGGCCACTCGTGGCCGTTCTCTTTAGCTTCTTGAGCCCTTCAGTATAAGAGGAAGAGAGAAAAGCCAGAGAGCCAGACAGTCTTGAGAGCCCGACAGTCTTGAGAGCCCAGAGTTGTCCGGAACACTCGGTAGCGATGTTCAGTTGGCTGTCCGGAAGCGGAAAGAGCCAAAGCGCGGGAGCCTCATTCGGACAGAGTCCTTCGGCCCCTCCGGACGCCAGAGGACGACTAAACTTCAGGTATAGCCGTTTTTGTAGGTTTGCTTAGCTTATCAAACAAACGGCGTTACTGTAGAGGGGGGAGAAGGCGGGAGAAACTAGAACGCGTGGTCACGTTGTTCTAATTAGTGCCCGCCGTTCGGTTTACTTTACAAGGGAATGGAATTTGGAGCAACTGTGTTAGTATGTGTAGTGCGTGTGGTTTGGCAACTACAGAAAAGTGCAGGGTGTAATACTTAGTACTCTTTGTGTGTGTGTATATTGCCACCACCTTTCTGACTTTGTAGAGATTTAAAGTTCATTCACATGTTTATTCTCTTTCAGTTCATTAGGGACACCCCGCCCCCCTCCAGCCCCACATCTAACAAGGGACGATGCACCCTCGTCCTCGAGCTACGCCCAGGGAGCCAGACTCGGTGAATACCACCGCTCTCGGCAGAACCCCTCCGTCCTAGACCAGTTCATCTCGTCACAGACCCCACAGAACCTGTACAAAAGCTCGCCAACCGTCCGTTCAACCTCCGAAAGATTCATCCTCTTCCCCTCTCCCGCCACCCATGCCTTAACGGCGGGAGTCTCCCCTCTCTCACGTCGTACCCAGACCCCATTCCGACGGTCTCCGTTCCAAATGAATCAGACTACGTCTCCGTTTGGAACCGGACTTGTGGGTATGGCAGTTCGAAGCCGACTTTGTCGTTCTGAAGGTCCCGGTATTAGTCCAGTTATGGTGCATATCCCTGGAGCTTCTTCGACCGGTGTGAATATGGATGACAAAGGAGCCAGTGCAAGTAGTAGCTCACCGACAAGCGGGGGAAACGAGGCGGACCCCTGTGATAGAGAGGTCGTCATCTCTGCTCTGAAACAGAAGAGGAAAAGGTGGGCGTGTCACTCTGGGGACGATGTCGTTGGAATTGCTGCTGAGTCCGCACAACCAGCAGCTAAGAGATCCAGGTATGACCAGATTTCCTCTTTCTACTTTTCCCTACACACAAAATATACTTCAATCTGACAAAACTGTGTATAATAATTATGTTGTGTGGGGTGTCAGTAAATACCCCCTTTGTTACTTCACAGCCATTGGAGTTCAGTGCATTGCGCAATACTGAATCCTAGTGTACAAGACCATCAGTGTGCTACACCGTAATTTAGTTTGTTATGTCAGATTGTGGTATTTTAACCGATCACAGCTTTCCCTTACTTATTTTGCCATCTGACCTAAACCAATCACTGGTAGTAATTATGCCTCTCCCTCTATATTTTTGTCATAATTATTGTCCTACTTTAACACCACTTGGGAATTTTTCAAGAAAGGTTTTTAAAATTACCTCTCTCTCTCTACAGGCATGGAACTGAGCAGCCTCGATCCAGTTCTCTCTCCCCTGCTTCCCTCTTCACCAGACCTTCGCTACACTCCCGGAAACGAGACCACACCTCCTCCGGGGAACCTTTGACCTCTGCCCTGTCGCAGTCGCTAAAGAAACCTCGCGTGTTTCACCCGCCTTCATCGTCACCATGGAAACGACCAATGACATCGTCAACAACAGGATCGTCGTCGGAGGTGAAAAGTCAAACTGAAAGTGAAGAAGGAAGAAAGACTGAGGCAGAGGTCGCGAGGGTCAGGGATCATGTGACCATGCCGGAGACAGGACAACCGAGAGAGGAACCAAACACGTCTCGTCTTGTGTCTGGTTCTGGTACCGGTACGGGACGGTCGCTGAAACTATCGGTTCCGGAATCAGAGTACGAGAGTGACAGTGAGAGTGTGAGGGGTGTGGTGGGCGGAGGAGGAGGGGGTGTGAAGGGTGACGGTGTGGAGGAGAGCTCGGTGGACAGTGGGCGTGGCAGTCGAGGGAGCACTCCGCCCGTCCAGGAGGAAGAGGAAGAAGAATCGCGAGAAGACGAAAGAAACAGAAGAAATGTAAGTTAACATCTGAAAATTAAAGGGTGGCCTAATTATTTCTTTCTTATTTCTCTCATGACAGAGAGCTGAGCTGCAGCGACTACACAAGTCGCTCACTGCCGTATTTCCCTCGCTCCACAAGACTGTGTCGCGGAGGAAGGCCCCCGTGTTCTGTGCCACTGGTTCAGCCTCGGTCCAGTGTCCGGCTCTGAGCCCAGCTGCTCGCGGAGTCACCTGGGAAGACTGGAGGAAGGAGGGCGAGATGGCTCAGGCTAGACTTCAGAGTTTCTGGGACTCTGACAGCGGTAAGTTCTGTGTGTGTTTGTGTGTGTATTTGAGAGATGGGGGGGGGAGGGGGGGGATTTTAGCTGAGGATTGTGTGGCTCTCACCCACAAGAAAGTTACACAAAACCTTTAGCTTATATCTTATTTTAACTGTGTAAACAGTAGATGAATGAACTGGTGTCTCTTCACTCTCTGCAGACCCACCTGCCAACCCTGACAGCTCGTCACTCGTGGAAAAACCATCCTCTGCTACCGCTGAGATCTCCAATACCCCTTCACCGCTCGCTCCATCTTCCTCCTCCTTGTCGTCAGTGAACTCTCGTACACAACCGTCAGCAACAACTGTGACCAGCAGTACTGTGATGTCCTCTAGTGGTGGGAAACTGCCGGGCGCAAAGTCCGTGACGTTCCAGCTGCCAAATGTGGCCACATCCACCCAATCTCTTTCCTCTGTTACCACCACATCGTCTCAGACAAACTCCGTCACTGGGTCAGGTTCCGGTTCTGGAATGGGACTGGGGCCTGGTACAGGACCCGACTCCCTAGTCAGTCAGACATCTGCAGCAGCAGCACCCACAGCATCGTCTTCTCTCCCTCCTTCCTCTCTCCCCTCTTTCTCTTCATCTGCAAGCCAGTCAACTCCAACACTGCCAAACAACAATGCTGTCACACAACAGCAGCAGGAAAGACAACCTCAACAAGAAATGCATCAACAAAAACAACAGATCTTGCAGCCGCCTGTTGTGCAGTCTGCAACGCAATCACTTCCCTCCTCGCTAGCTCTTCCGTCTGCATTCGGCAATTTCCAGACCACACCCACTGCCACGCCCACCTCTACTCCTCCCCAAACTATCCCCACAACATCGATGGTCACTCTACCATCGTCCTCCCTCCCCTCCCTCCCTCCTCTCTCCCAGCTCGGACACCCTTCCACCAACCAAACTCTTCAGCAGTCATTGACTGCACCTCAGCCTCTCTCCCTCTCTCTTGCGCAACCTCAACCACAGCAGCCAACATCCTCTCAACAACAGCTACTATCTTCTCAATGGCAGCAAACATCCTCTCAACAACAGCTACTTGTATCTTCTCAACAGCAGCAAACATCTACTCTTGGAACACAACCTCAATCGTCTTCAAATGTGACACTTCCAACAGTTTCCGGTTCAACGAGTCAGTCTGCTGCGAAATTTCCTGGTCTACCGCCTGGTTTCGGAGGCCCCCCAGCGTATTCCAGTGTGGGGTCGACCCCCGGGGGGTTCAAATTTGGTTCCATAGGGGGTCTCTCGGGGGCAGTGCCCACCTTGGCAGTGTCTGGTACCGGATCTGGGAATGGGACCCAGGTTGCTACTACTAGTGGGGTGATGACACCAGGTCTCCAGCTGCAGCAAGTCCGATCATCTGCCACCCATGCTCAGCAAAATTCGGCCCCCGGGGGGCTTCTACGTCTCGGGCAAACGTCGCAACTTCCAACTGCTACCTCTTCTAGTGGGGGATTCAATTTCGGTGGGGGGTTCAAATTTTCATCAGGGGGACCTACAATGTCACAGACCCCACAGCAGACACCGAAACTCATTTTCGGAGGGACGACCCCCCAGAGTCAGAACCCCTTGGGAGGTCTAAATTTTGGAGGGTCATCTGGAGTGGGTGGAGCTTTCGGAACTGCTTTGGTCACCACCACTGCACCTACAACTGTGCCGTTGACCACACCCAGTTTCAATTTTGCAGCGACATCATCATCATCTGGAACTGTGGGGACCCAAAAGATATCCGGAGGAATATTCGGCGCCTCCACCCTCCAACAACCGTCTGCCGCGTTGCCTAGCAACCCTACACCTCCCGCCTTTAATTTCGGTGCAACGGCCTCTCAACCAACGCAGCAGCAACGTTCAATGTCTTTGAGATCGGGAAATGCTGGAAATGGAATGTTCAATTTCTCTTCCAATCCACAGAAACAGACTCCATCAATGGCTACTGGAGCATTAATCTTTGGAGGGGGAGGAGCTGGTAATTCTGCAACGGCGGGGCCCGCCTTCAATTTCTCTGCGGCGGCTGGGTCTCAGACTGGTTCCAACGTCAGTGGTTCTGGAACGGGACTCAGTTTCGGGGCAACTCCAGCGGCCCCCGGGGGGAGTGGGGGGTTCAATTTTTCAGCGGCAGCTGGAGCTAATCCAGTGAGAGGGCTGAGTTTTGGTGGAAGTACAGGAGGTGTGGCTTTCAGTGGTTCGACCAATCAGATTCAGCCTGGAGGAATTTTTGGACAAAACATGCCGTCGAATAACCCTTCTACTCCCAGTGTGTTTAACCCTTCTCTCGCTACGCCGTCCAAACCTCCGCAGATGGGCGGTTTCAATTTCACTCCCCAGCCTTCGACGACAGGATTCAATTTTTCTGCTTCAGCGGGGACCCCTGGAGGGATTAATTTTGGTTCCCCTGGGGTTGGCGGAGGGACCCTATTTTCCGCCGGAACCCCTACAGGTGGAGAGGCCTCGCGCCCAGTCGCTACAGCACGCAGACGTACCCGTGGACGCAGGAAGTAAGATCCTCAAACAAAAAGATGTTCCTAATTTATTCTCTAGTCGTACTGTTGCTATTTATAGAGGTTGTTTGTAATGTTGTCATTGTTGGTTGTTGTTGTTGTTTTGTTTTCCTCCTATGCACCGCTGTTGTTCATTCTGAGGATGTTTGTATTATAATTATGTGATCGTTATGCTGTAAAAATTTGAGCGCGCGCGCGATTATTGGCGGGCGATGTGCGCATGCGTGTGAGAGAGCACGCAAGCGAAGCGGCCACGGAATAATGGAGAGCGGTGCTGATGCTGTATTGCAAGCTGTTGGTAATTTTGCCCTACATTAGCTGTAGCGCTCTGTATAATATATACCTTTTCCAGGAGCGTCATTGCGCTCTCTTCTGGGGCCGGAGCGGAGGTAAAATATTTTTACTACCGCTGTATATTTTTGAGGTCTGGCGCTACAAAAATATTTAGCGCCAAGATGTGTATTTTCGAGTCGGAAGAGGGGGAGAGTGGAGGGAAAGGGTTAATCGTGACAGACTCAATGCAGGTTCTTTCAACCCTCATTGATCAGATCCAGGTACAAATGTTCCAAAAAGTTTAAAATGAGAATTTGCGTCCATATTATGCAGCATCCAGCAGGTCACGTGATCCATGCAGCCGCTCTCGGTCACCATGGCAACCACGGTTGCGGAGTGACAAGCCTGGTGTGTCTGGCTGCATCATGGAGCCAACAAGTTGCTGAACTGAGAAAACAGGTCAACAATACCAGTTTATCCAGCTTTTTGCAAGACCACTTCAGAACATGTATGTACTGCTGGACAACAGGGGTACCCACCGCCTGTCGTGTTTGCTGTATTCGAGGAATGTCTGAGAGGAATTGAGGCGGCCATTTTGAAACTCTGTCAGCCTCTGACCAAGATTAGAGACGAATATTCCAGGTCTCTCTCTCTCTCTCTCTCTCTGAGTACCTTCTATCCTCCTCTGTTCTCTTTTCTTACTCCCTCTTCTCATTAATACTCACTTGACAAATGTTGAACAATTTTTTTAGACGCTGTGGTGGAGGTGGTCTGGAGCGGAAGGTGTCAATCTACTCTCGACACTCAGTACGACCATCCAGACCCAGCAGAGAGGGAATCACCGACGGTGGATTCCTTGAATATCTGGGGTGAGAAATTTTAATACAATAACAAATTTCAATCCTTGATAGCAGCGAAATTTTAATACAATAACAAATTTCAATCCTTGATAGCAGCGACATTTTAATACAGGAAGGTGTATATGACGTGCTACTGTCTATCCCTCCCTCTCTCTCTCTCCCTCTTTCCTCAGAAAGCAGCTGTGTCACGGAAGGGAGCAGGCCATGTCGCTGGCAGTGAAGGCAGTTCATCCTCAAACCAACTCCTTATCTTCATCGCCTCTCGATTTGAGGTGTTACATACATACAGTACGTAAAGTCCACTAACTTTTCATGGTGCAAAATATTTGGCTGTGCGATATTGATACCTTCTTCTGAGTAATGTTGATGATATCATCCTACAGGAAAGTGATGTCGCTGCAATTAGTGGGCGTGGCTTCACAACACTCCCGAGTGGAAGTGGGTGTGGTCTGTAAATTGAGAGAGGAAATGGTTGAAATTGTTTGTCGTAGCGAGTGTTCGAGTCTCAGAACAATCGTACTATGTGGAGAGGCAACTGAGGTGTATGCTCATAGAGGGTTGAAGAAGGACGTGAAAATCTCCTCATTTGTCGGGTCATGTGACCTGGAGCAGGACTCACATGATCTCAGACTGAGGTCACATGACCACTGGTTGTGGTCTTGGCAACAGTTCCTCGGGAAGGTTTGACCTCTGGAATGCAATGCGATGTATATTTGGCAAGTTAACCCCCTTAATCCAGAAACCGATGGGACAAAAGAAATTAGTGAGGTGTCCTTATTTACCATGCAAAACTGAGTGAAAAGGTGTCCTTATTAGAGAAGTCGGAGGTGTCCTTAGAGAAGCCTGTAAATGTAGCTTGCAAAACTCCAACTCACTATTTATCTTACCTCCCCCTCCCTCCCCCTCCCCCAGTACTCTGTAGGTCTGATAGCAGTCAAGGGAGCCATTTCTTCCGCTCTCTATGATCACTGTCTGTCAGAGGGTGTCATTGTGATCACTAGTCTCACGTCGTCTCACGCGCACTCTCTCTCCCGGGTGGCTGGTACCAGAGCTGTTCACTACATCTCACAGATTAGACACGAGGTAATGAGGACACCTCTCTAAGGACACCCCTAAAATGAGGACACCTCTCTAAAGACACTCCTGAAATGAGGACACCTCTCTAAGGACACCCCCGAAATGAGGACATCTCTCTCCTTTTCTCTCCCCAGGAACAGTTCTTGCATGCAATTTAACCCCTGAAATAAGGACTTCCCGATACTTTCTTCTGTCCTGTTTGCCTTGACACAGGAGGATGTGGGAATGGTGAGAGTGAAACTGGTCGAAGGAGGGTGGAGCAAACAGAGAATTCATTCAGCCAAACTACCAGACAACAAGATAGCCAACAACAACTTTTTCTGTGCTTTAAAGGTATGCGGCACATTCATACAGTATGTAGTACACGTTGTTTCTTTATAGCCAGTTTTGGAAGAAACGACTTGTGACGTAACCACGGTGATCCTCTGTGGCCACACCCACTCCCAGACGAGCATTCTCGAGCACTCGTTGCACAACTGTTTGTCGCGATTGAGATGTGTGTTGAGTGACGGCTGTGCTGTGAGAGGAGGAGGGTGGGTGGAGGGGGAAATGGCGGGCATCATTCGGAACACAAAGACAAGGAAATCGGTAAGGGACATCTTCACTAGGAAGTTGCAACTATTCACTATTTTACTACTTACACTACTTGGCAAAGTCATCCTCAATACAGTCTGTGAAATTGTTGTTGTTTGCGTCAATTTTCCTAATTATTGCACACCTACACACTTTGCCCATATGCCAGAACCCTGGATCTATTCCGTACTGCATGCGGACTGGTTGGCTGGGGTCCGAGCTGGCATCTTACGACAGTTGCAACAGAGATGAGATTTTGGAGGGATTTGCTGCTGGTCTGGAGAACTTTGCAGCTGCCGTCGTCCAATCACTCGGAGTGTGCGGGAGCCATTTTGAGGCGCTGGCTTCTGTCAAACAGACTCATTCCAACACTGACAGAGAAGAGGGCGAAAAACACCGTGGGAATGTGGGTGGAGCTTTTTGTAAAGGGGGTGTGGCCAAGAGTGGTTCTGTTGAAAGGGGTGTGGTTTTGGACGGCTACAGCTGCAAGGTCTCAGCGTGGAGAACTGCACTTCACGTAGTCAGGACCTTGTCATCTCATTCACAATCGTTCACCCCTCAAATTAATCTGTGATAATCTGTGTGATTGTAACTTCGACATGTGCAATTAGCAGCACTATATAAGGTATATAGAGCCCTTCTCTAAGGATATATACCCCTCAAATAAGGACACCTTTTCTGCATTAATTTAACCCCTGAAATAGGGACACCTCACTCCTTCTTCAGTCAAAACGCGCACTTATTGCAAGTGCTTTCATCACAAGACATTGTTCAAGTATGACATTTTGTAAACACAATTCACATAATTATTATGGACACTTTCGCTGCAAAATGCTTCAGTGTTTTTTTTCTAGAAACACACGGCTGACTGAGTGACGTCTGGTGACCTCTACTTGATGCCTAACGGAAATCTTCTGCGTTGAACATTCCCTGTGGGAAGAGAGTTCATAGGACGACATTTGACTAATAAATTGTGGTGGAGTTTGCTGCAAATAAAAAAATTTTTTGCTGACCCTGGCTCTTCTAAGTATGCCATCTTTACTTGGGTCGTAAGGATGGTCTTTGGATGGAATTTCAAGAATTGCTGGAGTTGGTTTGTCATGGGCATCCACCAGGTGACGAATCATCTCCGCTATCTGTGTGGGTCACGTGAGGATCATGTGAACTGTCATGTGACTTACGTTCTGGTTGATGAGGATGATGGCTATGTCTGTTCTGGTCAAGAATGCTTTGAACGATTCTTCGATGTCACTTACGGCCGTCTCTGAAGAAGAGAAGAGGGAGAAAGAGAAAGAGAGGGAGGGAAGAGAGGGAGGAGGGGAGGGGAGTGCTGAAAGAAGTGTGTGTATATTTCTATTGGAGAGTTCCATTCACTAGAGATGTTCGCTGGCTATTGAAAATTGTCTGACTACATATGTAGCCCCACCACACTGCACATTCACTCGCTACTCAATCGGGAACTGTTATACTCAAAAGATTGTATGCAGTATGTATAGCTATAATATAACACACCTTTTCGCACGACTAGAAAGTTGGGCTGTCTCTTGGCGTCCATTTCTCCCACACCTCCCAGCAAGAACCCCGTACATGTGTCCTGCATAAGTGGACTTCCTGAATTAGTCAGTCATAGACTAGTCCGCTATCCGAAGTTTTACTAGCGCAGCATAGCGGTCTGAAAATAAAGTTTTACGCTACACCGCTCGCTAGTAAAGCGGGTGGCTCACGTACTTCGTCTCCAATGACGGCCAGCAGCTTTCCTCCCTTGAAATCAGCCATTTCTGCTCGTCTTCTGCAGTGGAGGAGCTAGGGGGTTAATTGAAAATCACATGACGTGAATTGTTGGGCGGGCAGGGGTTAAGTAGTGCTGCAGCGCATGCGCGGACACATGTGGCAGAGATGAGGCTGTTGCGGACGTGCAGAAGCGTCCTGAGGGAGCTAAAGGCGGTGAGCGGCGGAGGAGAGGCGGGGGAACAGTGGAAATACATCGTCTCCGCCGTTCGTCAACGCGGAACGGAAAGATACGACTTGCAGGAGAGAGAAAAAGCTCAAAACACCCTCGACAGCTACCTCACATACCTACAGAGCTCCCGACAACACAGAGTACGTTCTTGGACGCCTGCTGGCTCTATTGCAGAGAAAATGACGTAATTGTGATCCACAGTAAATCCTAAAAAAGAACCTGTGGTTTGCGTCATACTAACACACTGACACCTCTGAATAAAGAACACTTTCGATATCCCCAAGGTCCCCATATCCTTTCGATATCCCCATTTCAGAGGTTCCATTGTAACTAGGAACTACTGGAGTACTACCAGGGCAGAGGTGAAAGGTCAATTGAAGAGACCGCACGGCTTGTGGGACTGGCACTACCGGAGAACAGAACGGAGACGGCAGGAGAGAGCTCACAGCACGGAACAGAGACGGCAGGAGAGAGCTCACGGCACGGAACAGAGACGGCAGGAGAGAGCTCACGGCATGGAACAGAGACGCATCAAGCTACTTCATAAAGATGTAATGTTTGGACAATAATAATATTATGATGATGAATAAATAATATATACAAGCAAAGAAACAGCAAAGTGTGCACAATAATAATATGCAACCCAAAAGCGACACAGAGGTGAGGTAAAAAAACTATTGTAAAAATGGCTGTATTATATTACACATGTATGTAAGACAAATCATACACGACCACACCACACACGCGAACACCACTCGCAGGAGAGCAAGTGTGAGACAGAACGTGGTGTACACCAATTAGAAAATGTCAGGAGAGCTGTCCCAGCAGTTACGGAGCTTTGCGTCCCAGTACTTGCCGTTGAAGCGATAGTAAGACGTCTTGGTGTCGGGATCATCAACTAGGTCAAACCATCTGCAGCACAAAGATACAAATTGTTCAGTTACTCCAATTAGAGAGCACACTATAGTAGCTCATCATCATTCAGAAATGGCACAGTGCATACTCAATCCAAATAGAGCACCCTTTAATTCTAAAAAGTGCCCAACAACAACTCCATATAAAGAGCACCTATTCTAAACAGAGCCCACTATTCTAAAAGTGCACCTACTCCAAATAAAGCACACCTATTTCTAAAAAGAGCCCACTATGTTGTGGCCCCACTCACACTGGTCTCCATCTCTCCTTGCGAGATTCTCGGAGTCTGCGAGCTGTCCTCTGCTTCTCCTCCAGTCGGAACTTCTCGTCGGAGGCCTCGTCCACATCCCCGTTCTCCAGGAGACGCTGGTCTGGCCGGTAGCGAGAGTCTGTCGGACACGTCGCCGCTGGGGGGGGGAGACATCATCAGGAAAACTTGATTCTAGCTTTTTATAAGTCGGCATTGAAACTAATCTGTGCAGGCAGCCATTGTGGCAATTCATGCTAGCCCCCTTAGCTAACATTGATAGTGACTAGCTTTCATGTACATGTATCGATGTATTTGTGTTCAAAGCTAAACTTGTAGTGTGTGGAGTGTGGATTAGAGCTGGTGAGCTAATCTTCGGTAGTTGGGGCTGTTGGCTGGTGAGCTAAACCCAACATACTTTCTTCAGGCTCGTTGAGGGTCATGGCGAACTGGGTGAAGCCATACTGTCTCTCCCAGTTTGGGACTTGTTCGTTGGCCCTCCACATTTCCTTCACTCCAGTACCATCTCGGCTCTTTCTCGTCATCCCTTTGTCCCACGCTCCATGCAAAATATACTGCACCTGCAGACATAGGGAGAGAGAGAGAGAGGGACCTTTCAAAATAGACACTCCAAATAAAGAACACCTCTCTATAAGGGACACTTGTTTCAAACCGGTGCTAATACTTTTTGTTGTGAAGATTTTTGTGTTTTCATTGGCATGTTGTGATAATTTTGGTGTTTTCATTAGTATGTTGTGATAATTTTAGTGTTTTCATTAGTATGTTGTGAAGATTTTGGTGTTTTCATTAGTATGTTGTGATAATTTTAGTGTTTTCATTAGTATGTTGTGAAGATTTTGGTGTTTTCATTAGTATGTTGTGTTTCCATTGGTATGTTGTGATAATTTGTAGTCTCATTAGTATGTTGTGATAATTTTTGTGTTTTCATTAGTATGTTTGTGTTTCCATTGGTATGTTGTAGTCGTGCAGTATTTGAACAAACGTACCTCCCCTTTCTCGTCAAAGACGTTGCCATGGAGCTCGCGGTACCGCTCTTTGGCCTTGCTGTAGGGTACAAAGTGCACCACGGCCTTTTCTCCCGTCGAGTGACACGTCACCACTACGTCTCCTTCCTGGGGGTGGGGCAGGGGGTGTGGCTTTCACACACGGCATTGTCTCAGAGTACAGTGGTACACATAACAATAATAAGAACGTCGCAGTATCGCGCGGCCATAGTTGCAAATGATCCTCAAAAGTGGCTTTTGGCAATTAATGCACTGTTTGTAGTCGTTTCTGGCATAGTAAAATGGAAAACTGCGAAAAATACGTTAACTATTTCTTGTATTTTTGCCGGAAAAACTTTTCCCTCTATTCTAGAGTTTTGTTGTGAAAGTTTTGTATATATGTAGAGAGATGAAGGAAGTGGGGAAACTGACATGGTCGGCCCATAGGGTCCCGAACAGGACGTTGTGAATGGTGGAGTGAGGCTTGTTCCACGAGTAATGGTAGCCGTCGTCTTTCGTCATGAAATGAACCAACCCCGTCGGGAGGACTTTAACCCACTGGCCACGGAATTTGATGTCGAGTTTGTACTCTTCCCAGAAGACCCATCGGTCGCTCTCCACGTGCAGCGCGGTGATTGGTGGATGGTGACTCACCTGGGAACGTGAGGGAGGGAATGAAGATAATCAACGATGCACGATTGTGTCGACAACAAGGTTTGAAGGCAAGCGAACCCACGACACTCTGCAGTCTAGGCGAGTGCTCTACCAACCGAGCTACCAGGGCAACTCAGCTGGCAGGGGTTCCAATCTACAACACAACACAAGATTAAGAGATTGACTGATTGATTGATTGATTATTTTCATGCACATTAGAGGTTGAAAGGACAGGAGAAGGGGAAGAATGAAGGAGGGAGTGAGGGAGAGAGATGCTGACTTGCTCAGACACGACGCAAAATCCTCCCTCCTGGTGGACCATTTCATACGTCTCCCCCAACAGAGGGTTGAATGGTTTGCCATATCTGGAGGAAAGAAAATGGAGGGTGGGTGAGTGAGTGAGAGGTCTGAATAGGGGAGGAGAGAGAAAGGAGGGAGGAAGAGGGTGTGTATAGAGAGAAATGGAGGAGGGAGGAAGGAAAAGAGGAAACGGAGGAAAGAAAGGGAAAGGAGAGAGGGAGAGGAAACAGAAAGAGAGAGGGAGAGAGAGGGTGTAGTGTCAACCTGGTAAGAGTGGTGACCCAGCACGAGCTGGCGAGGGCTGCCAACATAGCCAGTCTCTTAGACACACTGCTGGCAGCTACAGCGACGATGATCAGAGAGGGCAAACACGCCACCATGATGAAAGAGAGGGAAGCCATGGTGAAAGAGAGAGTAGCCATGTTGAAAGAGAGGGGAGATATGTGAGTGTAGGGAGCTTACCAGCTGCTTTGTGTGCGAGTTCGTAGTACTCTAAATCTTCAACCAGTCTCTGTGAGGGAACAACAGAGGTGAAATCAAATCCGTCCCTCCCTCCCTCCCTCCCTCTCTCCCTCCCAACCTGAGTGAAGGACAGAGGTTCGTTCAGGTGAACTGGCAAAGCAATCCTCGTCACGTCTTTTCCAACAAAGTTCTTCAGCAAACTGCACAACACAACCCACAAAATTCCCTCTCTTCCATCATAAATATTACATCACACACCCAGTAAACTGCACTACCATAGAGCATTGCACATGGACTGTTACACAACATTATACAACTAAACTCATAATTGCTTATAGACCACCCTAACTATAGTTCCGACTGTTCGTATATTATTATTATGTGATATATATAATATATAGCTTTACTGTGTGTCCTATGGTGTATATACACACAGGAAAGCTATATATATCACATATACGAACAGTCGGAACTATATTTAGGGTGGTCTATAAGCAATTATTATGAGTTTAGCAAGCAACAGAGTTCTCGGTAACTCCCATACTACATACAGCATATATACACAACACTGTGTTCTAAATAACACACGGCACAAAACGTTGCAGGAAAAGCAGTAAACACACACTCAGGAACTATTCCAACCGCCACATGTAAACACGTCCAGGGCCAAGGGCCAAGTATGTCGCTAATTGCTGAGCCGACACCTGTTTAGCAAGTATCCGCATGTCTCCCTGGTGCTGGCTTGGCTCTACCAACTCACTACATAAGCTGACGGCAGAGGAATGAATGTAATTAACCGAGTTAATTAACAGATATTAACTTTGTAGCTGGACCATCTGTGCTAGAGCGATATATGAATACGGGGCTAGGGTTTTTGTGTGTCCAACACCAACAGCTGCGTGGCAATCCGATTCGTAGGATTTGAGACCCTGTTTGGAAGTCGGTTGTTGTTGGCATGGAAACGAACTCTCACCTCCACAGGCTGTAGCTGTGCCGGTCGCGAGGGAAGGGGAGTTTCTCACGTCTGTTGGCTGGCTTCGAGGGTGCTTTAGGGAGGAGTGGGGGAGGGAGTGAGGGAGGGAAGGAGTGGGAAGGAGGGAGGGAGGAAGGAGATATAGGTGAGAGAGGGGGAGAGAAGGAAGGAGATAGGTAGAAAGAAGGAAAGAGGAGAGAGGGGGAGAGAAGAATGTAGTAACTCTAAAAGGAAGGGTAACAAAAGAAGAGGTAATTTCAAAGGAATCTTACAAACATTCCCACAGACAGGAGGCTCGGAGTGGTATCCAGGATAAGCACAGTCTCCCCCCACTCTTACTGGCTTTGGCGATGACTGACACAAAAATGGCTCCCTCCCTCCCTCCCTCCCTCCCCACTCACCAAGCAAGCGAAAAAGGTCAGAGAAAGAGTCGGGATTGCATATGGCGTCAGTTTGCGAGGTGGAGGAGGGTTGAGAGGGAGAAGGAAAGGTCGCAACTCGACTCGGAACCAGCGAGAAAATCCCGTTTTCTTTGTTGTCTTTTGTTGCCACTATTGAGTCTGAGATCCTCTGTTCTAGTGGGCTATCGTGGGCATCTTCAAATATCTGAGAATGGAGGGGAGGGAGGAGGAGAGATGAAACGGAGAAGGGGAAGACTTAAAACGACATCGTTGAAAGCTCAAAAGGCAACACTTCCCCTCTCAAATGAGGTGTGTTTTCATACATTATTGGATAGCTAGACTCTCAGGGTCTGTTTTACCAGCCAGCCACACTCAAACACCTCGTAACAGATCACACTTTCCACTGTATGGCGTAATAATAGAACTTGGTGCTGTCAGGGGTATTAAAATTCAATAGGATCCACAATTCATGCCGAAAACTGAGTGTAGGGAATTAATGAGTTCGCGCTACTGTTCCACCTGCGTTGTGTTCCAGATCGGAAAAAATGCACGAAATTTGGACCTACACGCGGAAAAATTAAAAACACAGCACTTCCTGAATTTTTATCAAACAAGGCTGGCGCTTAGCACAGCTCTAGTAGCCAAACAAATGCCTGTCTATTATGCTAAGAGGTAATGTATACACACGGAAGGAAGGGAAGGAAGGAAAGGAAGGAAAGGTGTACTATGTAAGGGATACTAAGCCTACATAACGATGTAGATGTTACCATCGTTCACACAGCAGCGATAAGTGAAGGTATAGAGGTATGTTACGGCGACACGGAATGTTGCCAACAGGTCACAGCACAGTGGGAGTGTGGCTCTGTAGATAATTGACTGCACGTTGAACACGCACACACACACACACACTGCTCTCCACTGAGAACCACTCCTTGACATTAATTTTGATTGCATGCGTTCACCAGCTTGCCGACTAGTCTACCAGGTAAAGTACGCAGCTCTGCTATAAGTATATATGTATACTACTTTGCAACTATAGTACAATATGGTTCTCGGGCTACTTCTGTATTAGAGAGCAGCGGTTCATGCTCGCTCCAAAGCAGCCCTGAGTAAAACTGTTTTACTGTTAGCTACACGGAACAGCGGACACGTGTACGCCAAGCCACGAGGGTTAGAGAAACTGCCATCCCACGCCTCGTGTCCAATCACCCATTTCTCCTCGGTGCTAGGTACGCGCGTCACGCCGTCTTTACCTCTCCGTCGCTGTCTTCTGCAGTCTCTGTGTGCGACATGGCCGATCTGACGTTTCTCCTCAACACACACACGCACACAGGCAGGCGAGGGAGAGACGGTACCTCGCAAACCGTCCACAGACAGAGCTGACTTCAGGAGTTCTGACTTCAGCTGAAGTGTTGTGCGTCGGTAGGCGGCCGGCTCATTACCCCCGCGCGCGCCCCATAGTCGAAATTCACTGTCTCTGCACGCGCACGTGTGACAACGAACGTGTGCGCATGTCCAGGTAGGGCCCATGCACCTCTCTCTACCGGTGCACCCCGCCAAATGGAAGAGGAGCAACGGCGAGCTCTAGTGGCTGCAGCCGTCGGAGCGAAAGAGAGAGCGTATTCCAAGTACAGCAATTTCCCCGTAGGCGCCGCTCTCCTCTGTCGGGACGGTACCGTTGTCACAGGTAAAATCTGTAACTTATATAGCTCGTGCCGACGCCTGAATTCTTTGCAGGCTGCAGCGTTGATAACGCAGTGCACAACTTGGGTCTGTGTGCAGAGAGAACGGCCGTCGTCAAGGCCGTGAGCGAAGGTCGCACAGAGTTCGCTGCAGTCGCCGTAGTATCGTGAGTGCACGCTAGATTTATACTGGACGCTATGGCTCTTCCTTCAAAGGAACTCTCCGTCATGTGTATCTCCGTGTGGAGCCTGTCGCCAGGTGTTGAGTGAGTTCAGCAGTGACGGTTCTCTGGAGGTGGTGATGGCTCGCTCTGATGGCCAGCACTACAAGGTCAGTTCTGCCTACATTCCACCATCATAATCTCTTCATTCTCTAACATTGTCAGGTGATGACTGTTTCAGAACTGCTACCCTGTGCCTTCAGCATTAAAAATTTGGAAGAGACAAAGCATTAACTGCTACAATATTTCATTGCTTTTGTTGGTTTGTCTTTTCTACTCACGCACTTTCAAAAAAGAAACGCAAACCCGTTGAGGTGCTAACAACGGAGCATTCTCCGCTAAAGACAACAGAACTGAGCGTCCACTGTGTAAGGCGACAGAATATGATTCACGGATTAATTTGAGATCATCCGGTGAAGAGAGCCATCCGCTCGCACGCGCTTAACTCTGAAACTCTGGGAAAGTACATTAGACAAACGTGGCTACAGTGGAGTTGGAAGTTGTGTTCATCTTCTTCGGTAGGGACCTCATCTCCATGTCCGAGTTAGATTCCGGGAGAGTAGTGGGTGTGGCCTCAGTCACATGACTTGGTGTCGCAGGCTCGCTATCATCAGTAGTGGAGGCCAAAGGGTTTTCGTAATAGATGTTGGGTTCTGGTTGAGACAACAGAAAATGTTGCAGAATTGATCTGCCTCCATCTGTCCCTTCTCTGCCGATATTTGTAGACCTGTCTGCTTCATCCTCTATCCCTGACAATTGTATATACAGAGATGGTATTTGCATTATACGTCATAAAATTTGTGAAAGTTTTTTGTTGTGAATATTATGGTATAATGTACGTACCTTGTGTGTGTTGAGGGTGAGTAGAGAAGGAGGATAAGGAGGGAGAACGCTCCAGCGTTCTACTGGAAGGAACTCTCCTTCCACCAACCGTGTCATAGATCTTAACTCTTCCCTTCTTTCTCAAGCTGTGAGAGAGAAAGAGAGAGACAATTAAGAAACACGTCATAATTGGCAAATTGCAAGCAGTGAAAGAGAGAGGTAATAGAGTATTGTTGAGCTCTATTATATTTTTCCTCTTCAGTAGACTTAGCTACTGAGTTAGTGTTTTAGCAGATCACACCAAGTAGTAATTCTTACCGTACAAGAAGGAAGATAATGATGATTGCTATTGTTGTGACGGAAACTGCAAATATCGCTCCAAGGGTGCTGCCTCCTATGACAACCACTGGAGACTGGATCACATTGTTTCCGTCAGAGGTCGAAAGGTCTTCAGTGGGTGTGGCTTTAGTCGAGACTGCGTATGTTGTCTTGGGAAAAGGTTCCGAAAGACTGGTAGACAGTAGAACGGAAGTAGGTGTGGTTTGGGGTGTGGTCATCAAAGGGGAATGTTTGTCAGCAGCTGTGGTCACTGGCATATCAGTGGGTGTGGACGAAGGAAGTGGAAGGAGCATCATTAGAGACATGGTGGGTGTGGTCGATGTAGAAGTGGGTGTGGTCACAGACAGGGTGGCAGACGGTTCCAAATCTGTAAACAAAGGAAGATTTCATTTCACTCTCAAATCTCTCTCCATTACCATCGCATGTGATCCCAACATCTTGGGTATGGTCGCACTGGGACAGACCCCATCCTGACAACTGACACTCCGTTAGGCGACTCTCGTTCCCATGGCAACCCACTCCCTCCAACCAGACCACACCCACACCCTCGGAGATCGTATCGTTGCCAAGCAACGTGAGGGCTCCAAGGAAACCGAGCTGTCGGCACGCGACATCTGCATCATCCAGGTCCCACCCAATTCCGCAGACTGTTCCCCATACTCCTCCATACAAAACCTCAAGTCTTCCGGAATTTTCCGTCTGACCATCCACTAGACGAAGGTCATGGGGGTCCACATCGGGCTCTGTAAATTTCGGCGAGCTAGTTGTAAAAATTTTGTGGCGATTCAAGAATTTTTTACCGGCACAGGCAAGTCCAACGGCCTGGTTTTGACTGCAGTCATGTTTACCCCACATGGAATGGGGACAGAACGACAGAGCTTTCTCATTCCCACGACAGGCTAGATCATCGAGCCAGAATGGAACGGGGCCAGGCATGTCGGGTACAGCATCAAAAAGCTGGTTATTGAAATTCAGCACTGCACCATAGCCTGAAAAAAGTGAAAGTAGACTGTAGAATGAACTCGTTTTAGAAGATTGCTGAAATGAGGACACAAGAATGCCCAACCACAGTTCTGGCGTGCATTCCTGTCCAACTGATGTAAGAATAGATGGGTCGTGAGTGGTTCTTGTTACACTGCTGACCTAGCTGTGAGCAGGCAATGTCGACTGCCGCCAGGTCAAACCCGTCTCCACACACCTTCCCCCAGCGACCGTTGTACAGAACTTGTAGCTGCCCCTCGTAGGGAGTAGCCCCACCCACCAGACGAAGCGGTGCCAAATACTCTTCTTCAGAGATCCCACTATTAGCTTCAAAAGAGAAAAAATGTTCAAGGCACAAAGTTTTCTGCAGCAGATTTTAAGGTTTGAAGGAAAAAAATTTTCACAGGTATGATTATAGAAGACTTTCAACATCAAAATCCAGCTACATTACGGTAGACAGTGAATGTTCTCCACCACTTAAGATCAATTTTAAAAAGTAACCTGTAGAGGAATTACCTTGACAGATAACGGAGCCATCAAAATGATGGGTACAGTAGTCAGCAATATCCCCAACTCCTCGCTCACGAGGACAATCCAACACACTTTCCTCGTTCCCGACACAGTTGAAATTCTGAAACCACTGCATTCCTGTCCCCTCTCCAAAAGGAGTTGTAATGTAGGTAACTGAAGGTGTAAAAATTATGCATTTTGGCCGTCAAAATTTGACTGGGTGCTGAAAAAAGTGCGTTCGTACTGAGAGCTCCATTGTATCCGAGTTGACGACAAACGACATCAAAATCTTTTGGAGTTAAGTCTGGATCCACAGCACAGACCGTCCCCCACTCTCCATTCACACTCACTTCCACCCTCCCCTCCCACGGCCTGACTCCGCCCACCAGCCGGAACTCATAGGGTTCACCTGGTACACCTAGTGAACAAAAAAGATTACATCATTTTCCCATCTTGTTTTGGTTTTCGTAATTACAATCTAAGGACACACCGCCTCAAATGAGGTTATATATATACCTCTCTAATAGGGACACCTTCTCTTTCTCCAAAACAGTTCTTGCAAGCAATTCAACCCCTGAAATAAGGACACCTCAATCACTACTATGGGCACTTTCTTCTGTTCCATTGGCATCCTGATTAGAGGAGTTATTATGCTCACTTTGACACAGGACTCCAGCATCACTGTTGTCGGCACAGTTACTGTTGGTGATTCCATTCGGAATGAGGCAGTCACATAATCCAGTCTCAGACCCACTGCAGTTAACCCCTGCCAGCCAGTAGAGGTCAGTCTGTGGATCAGAGACCTCACCCCTTGCCTCAAGAGCACCCTCAAAACCCAGGTTTTTGCAGACAATATTCGCCTCACTCAGTCCCCAGTCTTCAGAGCAGACCCTGCCCCATTCATCGTTAGCAAAGACTTCCACTACTCCAGCCCAAGGCCTGTCCAGAGTTCTTAATGGTGATAGTCTTAGAGAGCAGGCTGGCGGGGGGAGAGAGAGAAATAAAAGTAAGAAAGAGGTGAATAATGAAAAGAGAGGGAGAGAGAACATTTCATGAATCACTGGTGGTCATTTCTTACTACATCGAAGTACGATGTTCTCTGAAGGCACACAGTTGTGCTCTCCCCAGCCAGCGTGTGAGCAGTCAGCAAGCTTCATTTCTTCTCCACCACACACCACGTCGTCCAGCCAAATCACACTCTCCCCTTCACCAAACTCCCCACCTACACATTGACAAGAAACTATATCAACTGGAAGTTGGATAAACGCTACAATTACTTTAGGGAAAATAGTGTAGTTTTTGCTAATAGGAAGTATTCCAAAACCCCTCATTTAAATTTTCCTGATGATATTCATACAGTACAATTACTGTGAGATGTTGTGTATCAAAATGGAATACAGTCTCTAAGGACACCCCTGAAATTAGGACACCTTACTAATATGGACAACTTTTCTTGCCCCAAGAACAGTTCTTGTATGCAACTGAACCCCTGAAATAAGGACACCTCACAAAATGGACACTTTTTCGGTCCCATTGGTGTCCAGATTAGAGAGTTACTGTAGCCATGCAACTAACTGGTTGGTTGGTGTTGAGGGGTGTCAAGGGTAAGCCCAAGTTCCCGGCAAACGACACTTCCTTCCCCCACACCCCAACCGTCGTCACAAACTCCGCCCCACACGTCTCCAAAGAACACCTCCACTCGTCCCTCCCACTCTGAGGCTCCGCCTACTAGACGCACACTCAGAGCCTCAGAATCATCTGGGTACAATAAACAAAAACTGTGTGTTGACAGAAAGATAGAGTAGAGTTTGTGAGCAAAAATGAGAACTTCCGAAAGTATTATGAGATAAAGAAATCTCCGATTAAGAAATAGAATGGGCAAGGAAAATGGTGAGAAGGAGAAGCTAAATAAGAGCGAGAGAAGTAATATTACCTGCACAGATAGCTCCAGCGTCTCTGCTATGATCCATGCAGTCACTGCTCACCTCTCCCCATTCTCCCATCCTCCCACACTCCCCAATGTCCCCCTCCCCTCCCTCACACTCCACTCCCTCAATCCACACCCTCTCATCTGGCGATGCCGCTGGGTAGGCTGACATTGTCGTCGCTTTGACGGCAAGCGAAAACCCAAGCTGCCGACAAACGACCTGCACCAGCAAGGGATAGGCCAATGATTCAGCAATAAGCAATATCACACAATACTCAGCATCCTGCAGAGAAGGCGTTTCACGGTAAAACTTCGCTAGCTATCCATTCACACTTGGGATCTGCAAAATTGCTGAAGTGGACACACAATTCATGCCAAAGGTGCTGCAGGATTTCTGCAGAGGCTCGGATTGGCGAGGTTCCACTGTATACCTGCAGCGACCTCCAACGAACTATACCTGAAAGTTTAGCTATCCTGCTGCGAACGCCAAACCACTTAGCTAGCGCATCAGGCTACAGAAAGTATTTACGTTAGCGTCATTGAGATCCCATCCTTCATCACAGACAGTGCCCCAAGTCTTGTTGAGGAGAATCTCGACTCGACCGTCCCACTGCGTGGAGCCGTCTCGGAGCCTCACGCTCGTGCTCTCGGCTCTGCAGAGACTGGCGAGGGACACTGTCAGAGCGAGAAACAACGATAGACTGCAGCATCTTTCCCAAACTGCTATGTGACGGTGGTTTGCTGGTAGTGTCATCATTGCTGTAGCCGAGTTTGCTAGTTTGAAGCCCCCCTCCACCACCTCTCCCACGCGCGCGCTGCACACGCGGAGGGAGGGGCTCAGATGTATATACACAGCCGTGTGAATTCGCGTAATATTCACGCATGCGCGTTACGTGGTGGGGTTTTCCCCAGCTTCCAATTGCTGCGCACCTTTGTTTTCGTGGATGGAGGGGCGCGTCTGGTGAGCTCAGATCTCTCTTCTCCAGCTGCTCTGAGGGTGCAGTACGAATGTCGGCCCCGCGTTGACTCTGCCTTCAGCATCATCTTGTACCAGGCGACACTGAAATAATAAGAGAGGATCTCGCGGACGATTTTGATGGACATTCATTTCTAGCAGCAGCAGCAGCAAAATAGTGGACCAGCTCGCAGTTGGTATCCGCACATCATCTCACATCATGGTCAAAGTTCTCCCAAACAACTTTACCCTCTTTGACTCCCAGCGGATCCTCTCCCCCGCGGGGGAGCCCCTGGCAATCACATGCTCCAACGAACTCCTCTTCATCGCCGTCGAAGAGTGCATGGTCGAGGCGTACGACCTTTGCACCCTCGATCAGCTGGCACAGTTTCGTACCGTTAGCCCCGTGACCCAAATCGCATACAACGCAATCGGTGACTGCGTTGTTACTCTTGAAAAGAAACACCCACTCTCCCACGGGTTCGTCCGCGTCTACTTTAAATGGAGGGGACTCTCGGCCGATAAACCGATGCGGATACGTATGGCTTCCGCAGTTCAAAGGTCGTTGTCGGGGGGACGCGGGAGGGTTGCCGCGGAAATTGTCGAGCTACCGTCTGATACCGGTGGGTCCGTATCGTGCCTCTCGTGTTGCGAATTCACCGGACGAATCGCGGTGGCCATGGGGTCTCTTCTTCGCGTTTTCTTCCTCGAGAAAGAAGAAGAGGAGTTTGCGAATGATCCGTCCTCTTTCTCTCTCCGTCCCAGCGTCCCCCAAGCCTCCTCCCCGCTCTCCCCCTTTCACTCCCTTCCCCTCCCCTCCTCCTCTCCTTCCACTCCAAACATCGAGATATTGCTAGACATACAGACCAACACGGCCCAGCTGGAGATGGTTTCAATCGTTGGGGATTACGTCGCATTCATCTCCAGTAACGAGGTGAGGGTGGTGAAACTGTCCCTGTTCCATTCTGGACCCGACCCCATTCCAGACTACGAGGGTTTGGGAAACAGGGAGCTTCAATTGGACGGGGGTGTGGCATATGAGGGGGGCGAAAATTCAGACCCCCATTCGTCAAAGGGGGCAATTGTGAGCGACCGAAATTTCATTCTCTGGTCCCCTTCTGCAGTGTGGGAGGCTGAAAGGAAAGCTAGCAACAGCTTAGGAGATCATCTGACCTCGCACAAGAGCTCCGCCCATTGCCACACCTCTGATGACATCGCCGTAGATCACCTGACATCAGGTGATCGTCACGTGACGCCTCCTTCCAGCAACGCCCCATTGGTTGGAACGGTTCACCTAAAATCCATAACACAAGCGACGTCGGAGAAAATAAGCGATCGAACGACAATGGAGGTGTTGGGTCCCGTGGAGTACGTTTGGGGGCACCCCCTGACCGTTAAAGTTAATCACGCTAGTAACGACAGTCGCCATGGGATACCAGAGTGTCGAGTATTGACGATGCTGTATCGGAGGTTTTCGGCTGAAAGAAGCAGCAGTAGCTATCTCGGGAGTGGCTTGTCGTTGTCGGGCAGAGCGACAGTGTCGCTGGGGGGAGTGTCTCGAGGTCAGCGGACGACTCAGCCGGTGAGGGTGCAGGGGGGGAGGCGGCTGGGGGGAGAGGGAGGTTGGGACGGCCTCCACAGCGTCAAGCTCATTCCTACCTTTGCTCCAAGTAAGTCGATCACTTTTTGTATATAGGAGCTGCAATTTTTACACAGCAATTTTTGAGGAATTTGTTTCAAATTCCATGCAGCGCACATACATATTATAGAGAGTTGAATTTCACGAGTGGCCAAAGTTGTAACTCAATATTTTGTAACATTCTCGTTTTAAGCGTGTAAATGCCGTATACTGGTTTAGAGAGTGGATTGAGACCAATTATTTTTCATGATGTGATGTGATGTGTGTTGGTTCACACTCAGCCTCTGATCAAGGACCGCGGTCGCTGGTGGGCGTGAGCTGTTTCCTTGCCAACCGTTTCCATAGCTACCTGTACGACGTCCACCGTCGCTGCCGTCTCTTGTCTTCGTTTTCGTTCATGGCCCAGAGTCGCCTGGCCTACTGCGACGAGCGACTTCTCCATGCCCTCTCGGACAGATCTGTCGAGACGTACACCAGTAGAGCGTTTCAGGCCGCGATTGGCAATCTTCCCAGGAGCAGTGCCGTTATTCCTCCCCTTGCCGAAGAGACGGACGGATGGGCGGAGTTTATGGGCGTGGCAGAGTCTGGGGGAGGGTGTGGTTCAGTGGAAGGAGAGGGGGAAGAGGGAGAGGAGGGGGCAGGAGGAGAGGGAGGGGGAGAACCCACTTTGACTGAAGCAACGGAAGTCTATAATCATATCAACTGCATTCCTGGCAGTCCCACTGGCTCGGCTGTTGGCAGTGAAGGTGTTAAAGTCGTAGCTGACCTCAAGACTTGGTTGAGGCAGGTATGTAATTATCCTCTTCACTTCCATACTCTGTTCACAATCCGCATGCAACAAAATCCCCTGTTAACACCAAACTCAGTTTACTAATTCTTGTATACTGACCAAACTCAGTTTACTAATTCTTGTATACTGACCAAACTCAGTTTACTACAATTCGCAATACCTGCATCTTCTATATATGAACCAACAGAACAGATCATCACAGTTTAACTCTTAACTGATCGTCAAATTGTGTGTTTACTATTACGAACCTCCAAATGTGGAGTGTCCTCCTGTGTCCTCCCCTGTCCCCAGCCCATTCCACCTCCCAGTCTGGATCTCACTCTGGTCTCCACCTCCAAATTCATCGGCTGCTGTTACCTGGCAACCAGTCGGGATTACGTCATCGTTGTAACCAAGGGGGAGGTGGAGACACCGTCGCCGTCCTCCGGTGCCTCGTGGCTTCTGTAAGATCTCGCTGTCCTGTTACCAATTATTACATAACAGGGGAACCCCTCTAATCCAGACATCAACGGGACAGAAGAATGTGTCCATATTAGTGAGGTGTCCTTATTTCAGGGGTTAAAATTGCATCCAAGAACTGTTCACGGATAATGAAAAGGTGTCCTTATTTGAGAGGTGTAATGGGTGTCTTTAATTAGAGATTGTATTATGCTCCAGGCAGTCGCTGACACTGCGAAAGGCGAAGACTGAGCAGCTGTGGAACATTTACATCCTGAAACTGAAGAGTCCAATTTCTCTATATCAGCAGTTTGTGAGTGGGTCATTTTGGGGGTGGGGTGTTTGTAGGAGTGGAGTGGGTCATTTTGGGGTGGGGTGTTTGTAGGAGTGGAGGAACTGTGAGTGGGTCATTTTGGGGTGGTGTTTGTAGGAGTGGAGAAACTGGAGTGGGTCATTTTGGGGGTGGGTGTTTGTAGGAGTGGAGGAACTGGAGTGGGTCATTTTGGGGTGGGGTGTTTGTAGGAGTGGAGGAACTGGAGTGGGTCATTTTGGGGTGGGGTGTTTGTAGGAGTGGAGGAACTGGAGTGGGTCATTTTGGGGTGGGGTGTTTGTAGGAGTGGAGGAACTGGAGTGGGTCATTTGGGGTGGGGTGTTTGTTAGGAGTGGAGGAACTGGAGTGGGTCATTTTGGGGTGGGGTGTTTGTAGGAGTGGAGGAACTGGAGTGGGTCATTTTGGGGTGGGGTGTTTGTAGGAGTGGAGGAACTGGAGTGGGTCATTTTGGGGGTGGGGTGTTTGTAGGAGTGGAGGAACTGGAGTGGGGTCATTTTGGGGGTGGAGTGTTTGTAGGAGTGGAGGAACTGGAGTGGGTCATTTTGGGGTGTGGGTGTTTGTAGGAGTGGAGGAACTGAGTGGGTCATTTTGGGGTGGGGTGTTTGTAGGAGTGAGAACTGGAGTGGGTCATTTTGGGGTGGGGTGTTTTGTTGGATTGTGTAGTGAACTGGAGTGGGTCTTTTGGGTGTTTGTAGGAGTGAGGAACTGGAGTGGGTCATTTTGGGGTGGGGTTGGTCTGTGGGATTTTGGGGGTGGGGTGTTTGTAGGAGTGGAGGAACTGGAGTGGGTCATTTTGGGGGTGGGGTGTTTGTAGGAGTGGAGGAACTGGAGTGGGTCATTTTGGGGTGGGGTGTTTGTAGGAGTGGAGGAACTGGAGTGGGTCATTTTGGGGGTGGAGTGTTTGTAGGAGTGGAGGAACTGGAGTGGGTCATTTTGGGTGGGGTGTTTGTAGGAGTGGAGGAACTGGAGTGGGTCATTTTGTGGTGTGGGGTGGGGGTGTTTGTAGGAGTGGAGGAACTGGAGTGGTCATTTTGGGGGTGGGGTGTTTGTAGGAGTGGAGGAACTGGAGTGGGTCATTTTGGGGTGGGGTGTTTGTAGGAGTGGAGGAACTGGAGTGGGTCATTTTGGGGTGGGGTGTTGTAGGAGTGGAGAAACTGGAGTGGGTCATTTTGGGGTGGGGTGTTTGTAGGAGTGGAGGAACTGGAGTGGGTCATTTTTGGGGGTGGGGTGTTTGTAGGAGTGGAGGAACTGAGTGGGTCATTTGGGGTGGGGTGTTTGTAGGAGTGGAGGAACTGGAGTGGGTCATTTTGGGGTGGGGTGTTTGTAGGAGTGGAGGAACTGGAGTGGGTCATTTTGGGGTGGGGTGTTTGTAGGAGTGGAGGAACTGGAGTGGGTCATTTTGGGGTGGGGTGTTTGTAGGAGTGGAGAAACTGGAGTGGGTCATTTTGGGGTGGGGTGTTTGTAGGAGTGGAGGAACTGGAGTGGGGTCATTTTGGGGTGGGGTGTTTGTAGGCGTGGAGGCACTGGAGTGGGTCATGTTTGTGGTGGGGTGTTTGTAGGAATGGTGAGAACCTGTGAGTGGTGGGTCATTTTGGGGTGGAGTGTTTGTAGCAGTGAGAGCTGTGAGGTGGTCCTTTTGGTGTGGGTGTTTGTCAATTAACGTGTCGTCACATTTCGTCACAAACTTTTGTAAAATGAAATATATGTGAAAATCACCACAAAACAGTTTGTCGGGGGATTCGTACATTGTTAAATTATAACAAAGAGAAAGACTTTTAGAGTTTGTAATTTCTAAAGGAGGCATAAATGGCAATTCACAATTTTAAGAGAAAACATTGCTACTGATCGGAGGGGTTTCTCGTTGTTTTTCTCTCGTTTCGTGAAGATGGAGTTTGCCGAGACGATGAAGGAATCTTCGCCTCCGATGAGACAAACCCCTCCTGCGTGAATTGCAACATTTTCTGGCGGCGAATTAACGGGGGAGGATGAATTTCGTATATCCGCATCTCTCTCTCTCTTTCTCATGTCTAATTACTCTACTTTCTCAATACACTCCTCTCTCCCCTCTCAACGTCGTTCCTCTCCTCTCCGTCATGTTCGTTCTTCTTTACTGTTTTTGTTGCTCCTTCCCCCTCCCTTCCCCCTACCCTACGTCTCGACTTTCCCCTTTCTTTTTCTCATTGCTCTCTGATCCCTACCATCTCGTCTCTTTCACTCTTTCTTCTCGAACCCTGTCCTCAATCATTCTTCCAGCCCCCTTCCCCTCCCCTTTCATCTCCCCTATTCTCTCTCTTTTCTTAGCTTCAACTTCTTCTCTTCTGTCCCATAGTCCATCTTCTCCCCACTTTCTCTCCCCTTCCATCGTTCTACTTTTAAGAGGTCCTTCTTCCCTTCCCCTACCCCTCGATCTCATCTTTGCTCAAATCTGCTTACTTTAGCTGTCACTTCTATGTTCTCTGTCTTTTCAGTGCTGTCGTTCTTACACCTCCTGTAGAATCCAAACTACAGTAATGAAGTTTTCAAGAACTTGTCCTTCTAAAATATTCTTATGTTTGCTTCATTCATTTCCTGACAGAGCATTATCCTTTAATGTTAAAATCTACAACTTGTGCAACTTGTTTGTCTGTTCTGATATATTGTCAGATTCTGTTGGAAGGGTGTACGATGGAGGTCATGAGGTGGCTCCAGGAAAACTGCTTCCAGTTGGCAGAGTCTCTCTGTCTCTATTCCAGGTGGAACGGAATAGAGACACATGCATCTCATTACTTCGTCATGTCCGGGCGACCCATCGTCGACGTCGTATGCCACATACTGTCCAACCATACATCAGTGAGAGAGGCTATTTTTTAGTGTCATAAAATTTTAGCATGTTCATAAAATCCTAAACATTTTTATTATAGGATCATAAAAAGGCTTACTCGATCTAATGCATATTTGAACCTTACGCTGTTGAAGCCGGAATGCTGAGAAACAAATGCCACTCGTATCATTACATCTACGATGTAACGTATTTTTCTAGATTTCTCATGCAGCTGCGACCTCTAGCAGACAAGGTTCTGGAGCTCTATGGCATGGTCATGTGACCCAATCAATCTAGTCATGTGACTTGTCACGTGAATCTCGCTGCTGCTGGACTCGTGGATGGTCGGCTACTCAAGCGACAAAGCTATCAGTTTGTTAGAGAAACAGTGAATCACTTACGGAGAAGAAAAGGTTAGTGAGGAGAGAGAGGGTGATAAATATGGTGAATGTTCTTGTTGTCTCCCTGTGGCCGACAGCTGTCGAGGAGGATGTGTCACTCCATGCTGTGTCTCAACTCGGGAGAGTGCAGGAGCTAACAGCCTCTGTAAAACCCAAAGGCAAGACTGATTAGTGCCACTTCATGACCTAATTAGTACTCGTTTTAATCATAACTCCTGTAGTTCGATACGTTGTGTTAAGAGTGGTGATGTTTGTATACTCAAACTATTGAGCCAAGACTGGCAATACACGACCACTTTGAACCACTGTGTATATTTGGCCAAGTGAACATGACCAAATTGTATATACACCACTCTTACTACCACATTGATACCACTGTAGTAACATTCCCGGACCACACGTGGTCTATACACACGTAAAACGTTCGCTACAGGAAGACCTGAGAGATTGAGGATTGGAAATCGTTCGTTTTGCTGGACTCGCCAACTGTAACCCTCGCACCACTGGGAAAAGTAATGAATGCAATGGAATAATGCCGCAATGTATCTATCTCGTCATCTTTGCCAGCTTGTGTTTGAGTTGCAAGAAAGCAGTCTTCTCGATCTCTTTTCTCCACCTTCTCAAGAGGCAACAAAATGACCTTGATGACCTTTGCACTCTACTAAAAGGTGAGTATTAATTGGAATACTTACTGTACTGTCATGAATTATCACAGCTGAAATTTTACGTGGAGTATGACTATTCGTTCTTTCTATTCCATCCAGACATAATTATCTCGCCTATGATATTATATTATGACAAAACGCAGACGAAAAGATTCCACTGACTTGGCCCAAGAACACGCCTTAAACGCTTCGTGGAAATGATCGTTCTCGACAGGTCAAAGGTCATTCCCCAAGACTACCACCATGCAGGCTGTGGTATGTCAATACACATAAGTCACTTGCAGAAACAACTAGAACAATTGTTTACACGTTTGTTGTTGTTGTTGCAGCTTATAGTGGAGATGTTGTTGCTCGTTTGTCAACAACGGAAACGACAGTGTCCGTCGAGAAAGCAGACGCCATTTGTGATGCGTGGAACTACGACACCGGTGGCCGTGATAATGTGTGCGTTGGGAGTGGGGAGGGGGTGCGTGTGGAGGAGGGGAGGAGGGAAATGGTGTCACCGTGAAACAAGCGGAAGGAAAAACATCGACTATCGTCTTAACCGATCTCTTACAACAGTTGCAGTATATACCGTGACAAAGGTTGTGTATGAAGATAGTAATGAAATGATAAAGTGTGGAGCGAGATAGGGAAAAGATAGCTTTGGAACTAGATGAGATTGGTAGATAAAAGAGTTTCAAGGAGAAAGAGTGGAATAGAAATAGGGAGATGTGTGTGTGTTGTACTCTGTAGACCGTGTTGTGTAGCAGTGCACATGACTGAACCGTGCAACGAGAGTGAACGAGCTGCTGACCCCACGTTGAAACCCGTGAAAGGAAGGACGGAGAAGGAGAGGAGGGGTTTTGTCTACCAAATATCCTTCATGATGCTCCTTTGCCGTGCGTAGGAGACATGAAAGAAGTGGAGGATTTATCCCCATTTTCTAACCCATAGTGTCAAATGGTTTTAAAACGAACGTGCAGTATATATAGGGTTAAAAATTAAAAACCGGATAAATTGATTATGCATGTCGCTTTCACTGTGTCCCTATTGATTAGTTCAATCATTTTTACCGCCTTGTGTACTGCTCATCGACCTTCTCTCTCCCCGCTAGGCTGCCAGCTCTGTCTCCGCCACAGATCCAGGAGCCGCGCATCGACTACTGTACGAGCTATGTTTCCCGACGACCTGACTGTGGTGCTTGGCTACTGGAGCAGTTGCTAGGCAATGCCAATTACGATGGGAGACCGCCCACCCTACAAGACTCTGATAAGATCTCTTTATAAAGTGTGTACATATGATAACCTCTGAATAAGGCGACACCTTGACGACGATTGAAGTTAGAGGCGTCCTTATATGAGGTATTATAGTCAATTATAGTGTGGGCAGACCAGTGTCCTTATACAAAGAGGTGTCTTATCTTGGAGGTCAATATTAATTTGTTGAAAAAAATGTGTTTATGTACTTGCAGAAGGTCGCTGGTCATGTGATAAACCTCGACGACGCCTCGTGAGTTTTGTTTCTCCTCGCGCCGACGGATCTCGCCTGTTTCTTCCTCCTTTCATTCGAGCGCAGCATACAGGCTCCACTTCAGCCGAGCACGTCAGACTGCCCCATGACTCCATACTCAGTCAAGCAACACTACTACCCAATAGCTTCATCGTGTGCTGTGTGTGTGTTAATATTTTCCTGTTAGTATGCTCTGTATTATTTTGAGTGTTTTTTTATGCGTCAACACAAATAATTTTTGACGAAGTAGATACAATTTTCATGAGCCGACACAATTACACTGGGCAATAATAATTTTGTCACACGCCTATAATTATTTTCGTGTGGTCAGGAAGGGTTTTTTGTCTTGTACTAGTTCTCGTTGCTCCTGCTCGCTTCTTGTTACGCATGGCGTACACTTTCTTCTTTGACCTTTGACCCTTTCGCCTCCTTGGTGTGTGTTGTGTAGTGATGAAAGGGTGTCGTTGTCAAGGCGATATGCCAACTCTAACCAGGTGATGGTGTTGGTGTTCGGAGAGGGCGAGTCACCAGCTCAATATGTA